TGTAATTCGATACAGCTGGACGTTGGACTTCCGGAAATTTGAATGGATCCCCACGTCACTAAAGGCGGGGTTTTGATGTAATCCATGTTAGAGATCGTGTATATCGTTCCCGCTCCTAAAATATTTGATTTAGTGATTTAATTAGTTAATATAATTAATTGACAATAGTGTGCCCAAAACCGCATGATTTTGATAATCCGGTTTTTAGATTTTTTCGAACTTGGAAAAACCCATTTTTTGATAGATTTGAACCCGGTTTGGAAACGAGTTTTACACAAAATTATAAATATTTCTAACCGATATTTCTCACCAGAATGGACCACGTTATCGAACAGGGTAACATTTACTGGGATATTTCTCCTAATTCCGGCCCAATTACGGGGGTCACATTGGTCAAAACATGGTCCGATTGGGGCCACCGTGATTTGTTCATTTTCCACCAAAATGTCATTATCCCAACGATGTGCCGCCATTTTTCGGACATTCGTGAAGAAAAAACCTGTCTGAAGCCGGACGAAGTGTCCGTCACAGTTTTCCTGAGAATAAATGTTGACACAGTTGCCGTTCGTTTCAATTTCGTAGAGATGACCGGTTTCGGACTTGGGGATTTTTGGGACGCATTTGTCCGTATCAAAAATTTGGGCTAAATTGTTGAAGAGAAAAATCTTATTTCAAAATTTTCAATTCTCAAATTGTCAATTGAATTTTTGGGATGAATTTGTCCATATAAAAAATTGGGCTAAGCATATAGTTAAGAGGAAAAGCTTCCTGAAATTTTGCGAGCATACATATATGTGCAAAACAATTCCTCTTATTCCTTATATGTAGTTTACAGTCCAAATTTGAAAATAATTTAAAAGCTTAAAGTTTTTTTGAATGTAATAAAATTCAAAAGCTTGGATACAAAATTTTACAAAATTTAAAAGCCTACGTAAAAAATTTGATCAAATGTGACAACGCAGATACAGAATTCGATATAATTTTACAATGGATACAAAACTTAATAAGAATTAAACCTCAAAATAGCTTTAATAATTTTGGTCCTACCTAAGAAAAACCTATCAAATATGTCGTTAAGTAAGGTTTCGAAAAATTGAATAATCTTATCTCTTAATAACTGTGTTCCTGTTTTCTTACGATCGGACTCGTTCGTGACACGAATTCCAATTCTTGTAGCTGCCAGGTATTCAAAATTTGATGGAATTCCAAGATAGAGAAACAGCACTGCTGAAACCGGAACTGTACTAGAATGCATTTTTAAACATAAAATCGTTCATTAAACTTTGAAAATTTGGCCACTTTGTAATTCTGAGTCGAGGTTATGTACGAGGGGACCACGGAAAGTATCCGTTCTGACCTTGAAGGAGGGTCATTTTGCCCCACTTTTTTTGTTAGCGTGAAAGATAAACTCATATGTATCTCAGATCTCATAGCTTAAAAATTCACGGTCACGGCCGAGTCGAAGAGATCGTCTAATGTGATCGAAAACAGCGAAACAGACCAAACCGATGAAATTTATCCAAGGTTTGTTACGTAGATTTAGACCTTCAAAACGAAAACGTGTACTTCTTTTTGCATTTAGTCATTGGGGAATGAACCTAGGTTCATTTTTATGGCACTGATAGTAAGCCAAGAAGCAAGCAGTGGAAGCACCCGCCCACAAAGGAGTAAACGTGATGCTAAAACTGCTATTTTGGTAATGACCACAGATTTTGAGACTCAGAAGGACTTCTACTGTTGGGCGTTGCGGCTCCGAAACCGGCCATACCTGGTGCTTATTACACCGCAATTTTGAATAATTAACCCAAGTCTTTGTAGAGAAACGATAAGGACAAAAATCGCGTCGCTTGCGAAAACCCTGACGACAAGTTTCCAGCAAAAAATCCAAACTTTAGAAGGATGACATTTTACGCCAAAAAATGCCAAAATTATTTCAACCCCCTTGCAGTCTGCACCTAGCCTCTAGTGACTGCTGTGTATTGCGACATTTTGAAACAAACCTCAGGGGGAGGAGATTCTGATGATAGATGAGGTGAAATCAGCAGTTTTGACTTTTTTTCGAGAACCATTTATAAAATGGGGAAGGAATGTTTGAAATTTATCGGACCAAGTGTGTTGACCTAGCAGGGGACTACTCTAAAAAATTGTAGGGCAAGTACCCTAAATTTACTGCAGGAACATGGTCAGAACGGATACTTTCCGTGGTCCCCTCGTATGTATATATTTTCATGCGTCACCTTCCAGGCCTGCCTCAACAGTGAATAACTTGTCGGTTCGAGAACACTGGATAATTAACAAGTCACACAATAAGTATACTTCTTTTATTGCTTGTATTGCATCTAAGTACGTATTTGCATAGTACTGTGTGAATATATATATGAATGTAAGTACATATGTATTAAGTACATATGAGCATTATTAAATTATGTAAATTCTATAAAAGTAATTGACTTACAGTATGTAACTTATTTAATGCTACGATTTTTGATTTCAAATTCAATTTCAATTTTCCCAAGAACAGGTGGATATTTCAAAATTGTTTTCATACCAATTATTCACCATATATTGGACTACATTGAGGCAAATTTTCGAAGGGATGGAAATAAAACTGTTGAATCCACAAATATTTTAATATCAAAATATTGCGAATTGCACGTTACATAATTAATGCTACGGGGGTGTGATCGGTTCAATATCTTGTCAAACTTCAATAGCTGATTGAAATCGTCTGTGCATCTAATCCACCAACCTTTCGGTTACGCTACGGTCGATGTTTATTAACTTTTCTGTGATGACGGTTTGGCGGGGAGCCATGCTTGTCGGTTTTGGTGTCGCAACCAGACGCTGCAGTGTTTTTGGGCTATGCTCAATCGAGTTGAAGTCAATAAATTTGAATGTCCAGTCCAAAAGCTTTGCAATATTTGTCTAATATCCGACATTTTTCAAAATAAATCTCTGATAAAAGTCAGTCTTCGTTGTGAATTGCCCAAGATTTATTTCTAGCAAATCAAGGTAAACCTCTTTGGTCATGATCCCATCGACGCACGTCAGTGCTACTACCCGATGGCAACATATACTGCCCCAAAACCTAACCTCCCTGCAGAATCTGGAAAGTTTCACACCAGGATTTGGCTGTACCCATGGCCTAGATTTATTTATCTCGGCTATGTTCGATAGTTTGTCTCAGAAATCAATTTCTTTAAACTTCTTTGGTATAATTCTGAACTCTTACCGTTCCATCTGAGCTAAAAAGTTGAATTATGGTGTAATTTGAGAATACAAATTTTTTCCGGTAGACATGGGATCATCTTCCCTTTGCATTGCCCACGCCAAGCGTTTCTTGTGTTTGCTCGCTGAGGTGTATGGTGTGGAATTTCGAATTTCCCCAGATATTCCTACGAATATCAGCCTGTGTGTAATCATTTATAGGTGTTGATCAGTAAAACGGTCACTTTGCACATCTCTCGCAATTTCTGGCGCGGACAGACAAGAATTATTGTCACTGTGTTTACAATTGCCCCGTCAGCGTGTGGAAGGTTACTGGGCTTTCGACTCTGACGATGACAATTCACCACAGCTCCTGTGGTTTTCCTTTCTTCGGCGAACCTTGGAACAGATGCTGTGTGTATTTTAAATTGTTTCCATATTTTCCTTAAAGTTAGGCGTTATTAATGGAGGGAGGTCACGTTTTCAATATTTTTATACTGAGAAACGGTGTCCTTGGGTATTTATTTATTTTAATTCGTCAGATTATTTTCATTTCTAGCAGACATACTACAGAATTGTTTATCCCTACGAAACTCTGCCCTGCACTTAGGAAAAACGGCAAATTTGCACCCGTTGTGTATCGTAGCATTAATTATGGAACGTGCAATTCGCAATATTTTGACATTAAAATATTTGTGGATTCAACAGTATTATTTCCATGCCTTCGAAAATTTGCCTCAATGTAGTCCAATATATGGTGAATAATTGGTATGAAAACAATTTTGAAATATCTACCTGTTCCTGGGAAAATTGAATTTGAAATCAAAAATCGTAGCATTAAATAAGTTACATACTGTATGTTCCTGCAGACGTGTTTAATTATCTCGTCAGACAAGAATCGATACATTTTTGGGTAGTAATATACATACCCCGCAAGTCCAGGTAGCTTGATGAGCACTGCTGATAAGAGAGTTTCTTCTCACTAGTGTACAAACGTTGAATTGAGACAATTGGTAAAACTGGTCTGGAAAAATGTGTCTGCAATCCAGTCACAACATGCTTAATATGCACATGCAAATATGTATATATGTTTATATGCAAATGCATCCTTCTTTTCTGAGGAAATAACTACAATTGTAATATATGAAATCACGTAATTGGGACCCGACATGAAGCATGCGATCGATTTTTGGAGAATTTTGCCCCTTTACCCTACGGTGTGACCTATATGCCCCACGTTATATTTCACATGGGCAGGACACGATGCCTCGACTCAGCTCAAATCGATCACGTGCTTTTTGCACTTTCCCCATGCATAGATGGTAGGTATTTATCCTGGATTGCACGAATGCGTTTTATGGCATATTTTATTTTACTCCCATCAGAATTTATGCCAATGCATAAATTGGTACATATTGACTAGTTCCTTGTCGACACAATATTTTCTATCAGTTACATAAATACATAATTCGGTTAAAAATTCAAACTGGGCTTAGAGTTTACATACTTGGGATTTTTACTTCGAACAAGGATGTACTTATTTATATGTACGAGGTCAAAAATAACAATACAAGTTTGTATTCCATTTTTCTGGAAAAATTTAAAATGATCAGAATGGGAATTTATCTCATTTTATGACCAACTCATTTAGGCAGTTTCATTTCAAATCCCGGGTGCTTTCTCTCATTCCCGTTATTTATTTCTCCTCCTCAGAAACTTTGGTTTATACGCAGACACGCACAAATCAATAAATTTATCACCCTCTCACATGTTTTCCTCCCCACTAGTTGAGCTTCTCGCTAACCTTCTTATGTACATGGCGAGTTTTTCCTTAATATTTATCAGTCAAAACTTAGGAATCTTGCGTCTAGTGTTTCTTTTTAATATTTGCATTAATTCCCTATTTCTACCTTGCAATGTTGACGGCACAGTTCAGGACTGCTGAGGAGATTACGAGGGATCGCTTAATTTACGCCAAAGAGAGAAAAAGGGTAGTAGAGGTAAATAAGTAAATACACATTTAAAAATCCGGCAGAGTCATATATTTATGTACTCATGTCTGTTATTAATTTTGTACAAATTTCTAGTGTTTTTCATGTAAATTAACGGTTGATTTTTCAATACCACAACATTACTGGTTAGTAATGATTTAATACCGATTTTCGTAGAGTGCGCAGAATTTCTGCACTGTAAAAATCCGATAAAGTCACATATACACATATAAATGTACATACATATTAAATAAACATATCTATACTTACATAAGCCATATCCGTATTGATTTGGTAGTGATTCCCTACCAGATTGGTAATGGCTTGCTTGTAGTTTGTAAATTTTTCAATAAGATAACATTACTAACCGGTATTACTGTGCCGATAGAGTGAGTACATACGTATATATGTACATATGCACGTATGTACATATGTACATACTCCGGTCAGTAATGATTTACTTAATACCAGTTTTTAAGAGTGTTTGTAACTGAACAAATCAAGTATCTAACAAGGGAACCTTAAGTACTGTCACCTCTCGATTTCCTTCGGAATAAACTTAATCAACAGATAATTTAGTGAAACTAAAACTTTGTCATAGAACATGCGGTGCAAAATCGCGTTTTCGCGAAATATTTGGCGAGAGCTGCACCAAACCTGCATTTTCCCAATGCTTTTAACATAGCCCCAGCCTTTCGATTGATGAAATGAACTTTATAGAATCTTAATAAATTATATTTGTACCTGTCCGCGTAATTTCAGCCGATCACTAATATGCACAAAATGATGCAAAGATTCGCAAATTTTTTGCAAATTGCGAAAATCTGAAAACTTTCGTAAATTTTGAATTTCTTCGTTTTTTTAAATTCAACAAATTTATCAGCTTAACTGATATAAAATATATTTTTCTTATTGCAAAAAATTTGCAAAAATTTGCAAAAACTGAAATTCGCAATTTGCATGAAAATAAGTTAAATAACCAATGCTAGTCTATTTTTACGCATTTTTCTAAATTATTTGCGGTATTTATTGTTGCAAGTTGCAAAAACTTAAAGTGTGTGCAATTTTTTAATTCAATATGTAGAATTTTTTGCAATGCTTGCATATTTTAATTGTTCAACGAATTTGTTTTTCCTTTATTCGCTCATACCTACATATATGAAAATTTTTGAGTTTCTAGAAAAAGCAAAATTTAAAAATTCTAAGCTTCAATTTTTGCAAACTTTTTTCAACAAGAAAAATATATTTTATATCAGTTAAGCTGATAAATTTGTTGAATTTAAAAAAACGAAGAAATTCAAAATTTGCGAAAGTTTTCAGATTTTCGCAATTTGCAAAAAATTTGCGAATCTTTGCATCATTTTGTGCATATTAGTGATCGGCTGAAATTACGTGGACAGGTACAAATATAATTTATTAAGATTCTATAAAATTCATTTCATCATTCGAAAGGCTGGTGGCTATGTTAAAAGCATTGGGAAAATGGCAGGTTTTGGTGCAGCTCTCGCTAAATATTTCGCGAAAACGCGATTTTGCACCGCATGTTCTATAACAAAGTTTTAGTTTCACTAAATTATCTGTCGATTAAGGCTATTCCGAAGGAAATCGAGAGGTGACAGTACTTAAGGTTCCCTTGTAAGTCTTAAAAAGTGTATAATATGCCACTGTAAAATATCTGTGCATACTTGCGTTACATACTTATTTGTATTGAACAATATTCCCGCGTTGACAAGTTTATAGATAAGACGCGCCCGCATATTGTAAGTGTCAGAACGTTTTAGAACAGCAAAAATGAATGCGTGAATCAAATGTAATGCAACTTTGGTAGAATACTAAAGATGAACATGCCGAAGTTTTTTAATCCTTCAGTTGTCACAATACCCCTTCCGTACCCGTGGAGAGAAGACTTTGTTGCACACCTCTAATGAGTGGTTTGCCACTCGCTTTACCAACTTCTATGACGGTTTTCTCCATAACCCGCCCAAAGGTTTTCGAAAAACTTGGTGTCCTTTTTTCATAAGAGTATTATTTCTTCATTTATCGCAAAAATCTTTCAATGGGTCGACACTGAGGTGCCCCTGGAGCGATGTTTTTTTTCTCCACAAAATCACCTTTTTTCCTGGAAGGTACATACTTTGTCACTACTTTGTTGTTGTGGCACGTAGCCATGTTAGGTCAAAATAAAACGTGTTTGTTTTTGATAGAGGGATTAAATCTCTTGATGACAGACTCTTTCAAATAAAGTTAAAAATTGAAATTCTTTGTGGAAGCGAATGGATTTGAGACCTTCCCATTTTGGTCGAAGTCCGGCCATTTTATATATTTCATTTGAAATTTTGCTTAGCTTTGAATTTATATTTCGAACGAACGTCATTTTTACTTCCACATGAGTGTAACTTTACGCGATTGATGCTTCGAGGTGAACGGGAAAGTAGTTTTCATCATCCACGAAGACAAACTTCTGGGAGTCGTTTTCAACATTTTCTCAAAAAGTTTTGGAAAATTTGTTTCAGCTCCAGCTTTTCATCGTCGTTGTATTTTGGCGCGGTTTTAATGTTATACGCTTTGAGGCCCATGTAATTGGCTTTGATCTTGCGCAGATAGGTTTTTGAAATTTTTAGTTTTCTGTTTGCAGCCCTCATCGCAGCCATAAAATGGGGTAGCCTCTAAAAGATTTTTTCACGTTTGTCGTCAGTGTATTAGTCTTCAGGCAGACAGGTTGCCCAGGGGAAATTTTAGATTTTGAATTTTTACGATCCTTAGATATGTCTAGTGTATGACTAATTTTGTCCGGGGCATCCCTTCAAGAATGAAGTGGTCAGGAGCCCTTTCCCGATTCGAGAAAAATACTTTTTTTACCGAGTGGCGAACTAATTTTTCCACTTCCTCCAAATTTTGTGCTGTCGTTTTTTAACGGAAAGAGATAATCAAATTCTGTTTTGAGTTTTAGAAAGCTTATCAAATTTGCCAAGTTTTATGCTTTTTTACATGTCCCAAATTAATTTTTAAGTGGTTGAAATAATAGGGGGAACCTTGACACTTTCAATCAGTGACCAGTCCATACAAAGAACAAGCATTCCAATACTTTATATTTTTCATAACTGCTCAAATTTTAATCCATTTTCCAGTAAACATATCACTTTCCAAAGTTAAGAAGATTTTCGGGTTTAAACAAGATGAAAACCTATTCAGAATAACTTTATGTATAAATTGCTTAGCTTACCAATAACACCCTTTGCTTAATAAAATTTACAAATTGGTCCAATCTAAATGAAGACTTGACGTATGTATGTACATACAGACCAGGAAGCAGATCATTAGGAGTGAAGGTATATAGGAAAAGATGGGCATTAGGTTAGCCTAATTAAGCTAAGCAACTCACCATGGAGGTCTCCCAAAGTATGCGTACAAATTTGGAACAAACTAATATAATTTGTATTAAATTGGCAACAGGCACAATCTGCCAATGGTCAAGTTTAGCAGAGATATTGGCACAAAAGGAGGAGTGAATGCACCCCATCGGCCTACAAAATTTAACATTTTCCAAATTAGCTTCGCATTTTCCTCTTTTTGAATGTAAATGTCTCCGCCAAACCTTTGCATTGCCAGATGTATACAGCTAGTTTCATTTTGCAAATTTCATCCAAATTAAATTTCTAATTAATTGGTACTAGTTTGGTCCAAATCTGTGAGCATACGTTAGGAGACCTCCATTGTCAAATTTGTAGTGTGTAACAACGAACATAACATAATCACCTATAGAGTAATTCGGGTCACATCACCATGGTGGTGTGACTTCAATTCGTGCACCAACCTAAAATTGTGGGTTGGATGCATGCACGATTTAATATTTTAAGACTTCTACCGGCCTTGGAACTTCCAGAGTTTAGCCATCACATGACTATGTTCCTAAGTACAAAAGTTATTACCGGTAAGTAAATTATTTTTGGCATTCAGAAACGAAAACACATACGTAAAAATGATAAAAAAATAAATTAGTAACCCTAGATGTAAAGAATATTTTCATATGAGACAATCATTAGAAATAAATAATGCATTTTACGAGGTACTCGGCAGTCTTTCATTTCGTGTGCATGAAAAGAGATGTACCTCTGTTCATGAATTTAGATCCGACCTCATTAAAGATGTTATAGACACTTACTCATTGCACCTCCAATATTTATGTTTGATTGAGGAAAATTAACTAACTGAAAATAACCCATTAATTGTCTGCATTTTACCAACATCGTTTGAGGAGACCAATAAGGACTTTTATATCATTTCATAAGGAAAGCAGTAAATTATATCGATTCAATATAATCGTTGTTTTTCCTTCATATTCAGCAATCCCAGAGGATTCAGTCTGAGGGACCATACCAAGAATAAAGCTTTCAGTTGCAACAAATTCCGTGCAAATAGTTGAGAACAAGAAAAACAACAATATGGCGTCACAGATAAGGACAGAGGAAAAAAGTGTGCCGTTTTTCATCCTTCCATTTTCAGCTGAATGTGCGACATCGCTAGAAGTTTTGAGGAGAAATCATATCGATGCTTTAGAATTGATCAAGGGTAATTAAAATTGACTTTTTCCTATTTCTTTCATTAACTGTGACAAATTGATGTGAAGCTAGTGTTAAAAGGTTGAAATTTATTTAATGCGACTCTTACATAAATATGAATTTTATGTTATATTTAAATATTTGGCGAGGAGATAAGTAATTAACATTTCTAAATACTTAATTATAGGAGAAGAGGAGCTGGCATCTTACTGTTATACAGCATCTACATGCTGCTTACACTTCAGCCAATTCCGTTCAATAGTAACTGGGGCTAATCGTACGGAACTTCTCAATGCTCTCCGGGCAGAACCGTTCTGTTGCAGCAAAACGGACGATGTGATGAAGCTAAACAGTGAGCCAGAAAGTAATGGACCAACCCCACTTTCGTTTCTTTTTTCTGGAGCCGGGGCAGAATTTTTCCAAATGGGCTTAGAATTGTATCAAACGTGTCCAAGTTATCGTAGCCACTTCGACGATATCAATTCCCAACTCATGGATCTTGACGGTATAGATCTCCTTCGATGGTTGAGGGATGGCGAGGAGATTGCCCTCTACTCGCTGATTAGCATATTTGCCTTGGAGTACTCCCTACTTCAACTGTGGGCGGATTGGGGTGTAAGACCCACTTTGTGTGTCGTTGGACATTCCTTTGGCGAACTTGCTGCAGCTGTAGCTGTTGGTGGGCTGAGCCTTCCAACCGCAGCTCGATTGGTCGTGTCTTTGAGACAAAGTGTTTTGAGGAATGTAAAGCCGGGACGAATGCTTATGGTATTGGTTGATGAGGAAACGACCAGAGCCTTATTAAACAGCTTTTCCCAACGTAATGCCCCTCAAAATACACTCGATGAAGATGCTATTGACATTTGCATAATCAATTCCACTAATAACACCATTGTTCCGTAGACACAATCCAAAAATTTGCCAACTTCTTAGCCTCTAATTATATCACGAAGGCCACAGTAATTCCTGGGGTTTTTCATCCATACCACTCTAGGTACATGATTCCAGCTCCCACTGAGCTTCTTGTAGATCTTGAAAAATTAGAGTATTCTAGGCGTCATGCTGGCGTAAAGTACATCTCATCGGTGTATGGAAAACCGATGGAAGCATCAGAAAATTTAGTTGCATCTTACTGGTTTCAGGGGTTGCACAAACCTGCGCAATTTATTGGCTCCGCCAACTCCGCGGTTACCGTTGGTGGCCGTTTATTTCTGGAACTTAGCCCGCAACCAATCCTGACCGGCTTGATGAAGAAAAACTGCCCTGAGGCAAACTTTATTTGCATTCCTTCACTACGAAAAAATATCTCCAACTGGCGTACAATAATAGAAGCTGTTGCAGCTCTATATTTGCACCGAATTGAGGTTGACTGGGCAAAGATATGGAATAACTTGAACGATAATACAAACAAACGTGTGTGCATCAAACCCGTCCCACATCTCTTGCCAAAATATTCACTTCCTAACTGAGCCCCTTTTCGTTTCAACCTACAACACAACCTACATCACGGTTATTCACTCACCAATAAATTTATATCTGACGAAATCGGCTTCCCCCAGAAAGTTTGGCATCTTCCGATCTGTCTCTGGGTATTGTTAAAACTTTGCTTTCTCCTCAAACTACTTCATACTTAATCTACTACAGACTAATAATAAAAAACCGTGGTCATACCAACCCAAGATCTTATCATTACATAGCTGAACATGTAAAAACGGCCTTTGTCGATACACGGCAAAAACGCCCGTCGGTATTTCAGTACGGGCGTATCAAAAATCGCATTGCGAGCCATCCGTACTTAAATTTAAATACATTCCTATTTGCACGGAGTACGATTTAGTTCGGTTAAGCACGGATGGCTAGCAATGTGATTTTTGATACGTCCGTACTGAAATACCGACGGGTATTTTTTGCAGTGTATCTAATAATACATAACTCGATGTAATAAGTAGAACAAAATAAACCTAATAATAAATTTGTTTTTCCTCACGAGTTTTCTCAAAGTCGGATTCTTATAGAAATATGGAAATAAGGCAGCACAACTTTACACAAAAAATATTCATACATCCATTAAACGGCTTACATCCCATGCCATACTCGCAAAAGCTTAAATAAATAAATCAATGATAGAAATTGCTAAGACACGGTTTTACATACCTTCCTGAATTTCAACGAAATCAGAGACCTTCCTTCAGCCAAAAATTTCGAGGATGCCACAAATCCAGGCGAAGCCATAGTAAAGGTTGAAACTGTCTGAAGGAACGTTGGTTGTATTGACATTGACCACGTATTTTCAAAATTTCAACCACATCGGAGGGTTAAGCTTCGTACCATCGGATTGTTTTGTATGCCTGTATCAAGGGAAAGTTGTAACACTAAATTCAATTTAAAATTCTGTATTTAGTCATATGTAAATAGCCAAAACCGAAAATGGGACACCGGGTTTCTCGATGACGGAAATCCCAGGGGCACAAAACAATTTCCGTACAACTCGAATCGAGCTTTTTCTGTAATGTCATAAACCCATGGTTTTGTGTTTTATCGATTCTTATTACATACTTAGCATGCCCAAGGTAACTGTAAATGAAATGAAACGCTGTAGCTTCAACAGTTTTTGTGTTACAAGTTTCTAGTAAATTTTAGTGGAAAGCCTGTTAAATTCTGAGTAGAAAACAATTTTTGGTTCCCGAAATTTCCTACTCCAACATTAATTCAGAGCTGAAGACGCGGGTCATAGAATTTTTTAAAGCTTTCACACTTCTATGGGGCTTAGAACACACCTTTGCCCCTAACTTTGAACATTTTTCAGAATCCAGGGATTTAAATACAGTCAGAAGGATGGTTGATTCCGAAGTGGAGATAAAGTTCAGAATTTAGTTTTTTAGCTACGCTTGGATCATTTTTTCCACTATTTGGTGATGCTGAATCCAGCTGGGTGTTCCAATCGATTCCATTGAACTGGATCTCATTGAGGGGATGTATTACCAACTCAAAAACGTATTTTAAGAAATTTGATCCACCTACCTTCCCCATTTTCAACGAAATGTAGAGGAATCACCCCAATTAGCTCCCAGCTTCCAAAACCATGCCAAAACCTGGATAATGGGACTTTTTGACCATTTGTCTATACTGGGGGATGTCTTGGACCGATTTAGCGTAGATTAGGTCAAGTCGTTGGTTAAAAGATTGTTCCGATGTGAAAATCTCCTCATTTGTAAAAAGAATACTGTTCACTTTTTTGGAGCGTACCGCTTGATTCATTTCTTTAGTAGGGATTTCTTTCAGGGTTTGATCAGGAGATGGCAAGTACCACATTTCAGTAAGAAGCTATGAAAATAGCTACTTACAGTTAACTTGGGCGTACTGTGTATATAATAAATACGTCCGTTTTATAAGAAATTTAACGTAGATTACGAAAATCATACACATTTTTTGTTTGCACATTTTGTTACAAAAAGCTTACGAAAAATTGAGCAAAATTTCTTTCATGTAGATCATAATTTTGTCAAAATTTTAAGCCATCAAACTTGAAAATCGTTTGAGTGCGAAAAAACACGATCTCATTGTATATATCTATCTTAATAAATTTCCTTAGCAACAAAAAAAATTCCTAAGCAACATAAAAAATTTCCTTAGCAACATAAGTAAATTTTCTTAGCAACAAAAAACCTACAGTGCAGACTTGATATAGCCCGAGTCAGGCGTAAATCTGTTTTCAAATTAAAATTTTGAAACTTCGAATTCTTCAATTAAGAGCCTTTAGTAACCCATATACCAAAATTTATTCACTATCACTAAATGTAATCGGCTATCGCTAAATTTTTGTTAGTGCACACATATTTTTCTCGCTGGTCACCAGTATGGACCATGACCATAACTTTGAAACGAGTGTATAGTTTTTCCTAAACCTCCCAGGATATTAACCTAGTAATATTAGACGCAACATATGTAAATTCAAGCCACGCGGGTGACTAGGTTCGTATACATTTGTTGGTTGCACACATATTTTTCTCCCTGGTCACCTTATTGGGTCTCCCAACAAGGTCCTCCAGATGAAAATTTCTCTTATTTTACTTCGTATTCTTCCATTAGGAGCTATTGCCAACTTGTCTACCAAATTTCAGCTCGATTTGATGAATTTAAAAAATTGGTATGGGTCACCCCATCGGGTCTGTCCAGGTGAAAATGTGTCGAATTTCAATTCATATTCTTCCATTGGTAGTCATTAACAACCTATGTACCAAATTTGAGCTCGATTGGATAAGTTTTAAAAATCGGTATGGGTCACCCCCTAGGGTCCCCCCAGATGAAAATTTTTGCAATTTTACTTTGTATTCCTTCATTAGCAACCATTATCAACCTCTGCACCAAATTTCAGCTTTCTACGGCAATTTTGAAATATTGGTGCATAATACCCCACCCACCTATATGACCCCCACCGGTCAACCACTTGACCGATTTCGCCCATCTTCGAACTTAACTCCTCGTTTGACCCATACTACATTTGTGCAAAATTTCAAGACAACATAAAAAACTTTACTTAGCAACATAAAAAAAATTCCTTAGCAACGTAAAAAATTTCCTTAGCAACATAGAAAAATTTCCTTAGCAATATAAAAAAAATTCCTTAGCAACGTCAAAAAGTTTCCTTGGCAACGTTAAAAAAATTCCTTAGCAATAAAAAAAAATTCCTTAGCAACGTAAAAAAGTTTCCTTAGCAACGTTAAAAAAATTCCTTAGCAACGTCAAAAATTTCTTTAGCAACGTCAAAAATTACTTAGCAACATAAAAAATTTCCTTAGCAACATAAAAAAAATTTCCTTAGCAACGTTGAAAAATTTCCTTAGCAATATTAAAGCATATCCTTAGCAACGTCAAAAAAATGCTTAGCAACATATACAAGATTCCCTGGCAAGGTAAAAAAAATGCCTCAACAACTTAAAAAAATTGCTTAGCAACGTCTAAAAAATTCTTTAGCAGCATCAAAAAAATTCCCTGGCAAAGGTAAAAAAATTCACGTGGCCCGTCTTTAGGACGGGCTTATAGGCTCGTTATTCATAAAAATTATAAAAATAGTAATCTGACCCACCATCCGGATTCTGTGATTTATTCGGCGTAGATTGGTTTGGTAAAAAAAAGTGAATTTCTTCCTCTGGGGGTGAAATTACTTGTCAAAAAGTATTTTTTAAAGTTATCGATAGAATAGGAGAACCACTGGACCTCGCCCTATTAAAACATAGCCACTGGACATTCAAACAGGGCTCAGGTCCTGTTCATGAGACCATAATACTAAAATTCACTGCTGCTGAACCCCAACCTTCTGGAATATGACATGCGGTCCAAACTGAAGCTAGATACATGTGCTAAACCACGTATAAGTTTGAAATCTGAGAAAAAATCTGTCGCTTAGAGATGAGACTAATATTCCTTGGAATGAGGGCGTACTGCGAGTGGGATGTGGACTTTGGGCTCCTGTAGCTTCGAAAGGAGGAAATTTTGAAAAGTGCTCGGTATATTTTCTAGGGACTTTAATGGGTTTCTCGTGATATCGTTCGTTTTTTTTAAAATTCACTAAACTGAGTCCGCTACATTAATTTGTGTAGTGGTCAGAACTTATGGCAGTAGTATGTATCAGGACAACGAGTGGAATTCCGTGCCTACATTACGACTTACACATCGTCGACTTACACATTGTGATGTGGACATTCTTTAAAACGAAAAGATATTTAAAAATATATTTATGCCCTAAAATTTGAAAGATGTAAATAAAATGCGAAAATTAAGCGTACGAAATTTTAGGTTTTCAACCGTTAAGGTTTAAACATGGTTTAAATACTTTTTTCTAAATTAAATGTCATGTCTGAGGTATTATGAAACTTCGAGATTAAAAAAACGAGAATGACAACATAGGTGATGTACAGATTGGAGTGACATATATACAAACATTTAATCGAAATCAATACTTGTAAGTAAATTGCTTGTAAAATAATTGTAAAGCTTTTGGTTGAATTTTCCAAAAACACATGGCTCATAACATTACTGAAGCAACTCGTTGAAACAAGTAATTTATATGTCGAGTACATATGTAAAATCCAAATCCGAAGAAAAATTGTGCCAAAGTAAATTTTGTATTCATGAATTACAGAAATACCAGAAGTTCCTCATTATTAGGGAAACAAATGTGACTTGTCCAATTCATACAAATACTGCACACTTTATGTTTTATTCATGCATGAAAAATTTTAACAATTGAAGTAAATTTCTAATAATACAAATGGATGAATTTAATTGTGTAGAAAGTCATGTATATTTTTTTGTAATCGTGTCACACATGTAAAGATTGGTCAGACGTGAAGAATGTGACCAATTTTTGAGATGATGGCTTACTTTCGTTGATCCGGTTTTTACCGTTATAATTAACGCGGAAAGTGTAAGTTTCTTTGCTACATGTTTGACATAAAATACGTCACATGCTTTATGCACAGCCCCGCAGTAAACTTTCCACTTGATGCTAATTCCTTTAAAATATTGGTTGAAATTTTATGTATTGTAGACTGAAATAGTATAAAAATATTTGGTTTTATCCAAATTTAAATCAGACTTGAATCGTCCAGTATTCTAAAAACATATCAAATTTTAAAAAATAGTGGAAAAATGCATCTTCTCTTGCTAGCGACGCTTTCCCTGCTTGCATTTGGGAATGCAAAAATCGTATCGGAATTTTCCTCCGGGAACATTATCGACGAGGGGAACGACGCCGGGCGACAAAACAAGGCGACGAAATTTGCCCGTATGACGCTCCCCCTGCATCGGTATCATTACGTCGAAAAGGGCGACCATTTCTACACGACGTCCTGGACGGAACTCGAAGGTAAGTAACAGGGTTTCGTTTTTCCGGTCAAAAACGATTTTTTACCACGGCAGGTGGGAAAAAGTGTTAAAAACCGGGAAAAACGGTTTTTACCGTCCAAACTGGGAAATATGGCTGTCCATGTATTTAGTTCTTGAATAATCAATATTTCCGGAATTGGACTTCATATTCGTGATCTCCACGAATTTCTGAGAATTTTGATATATAATACGGGAACTTTTGATCAGTTTTAATTATTTTTCCAATTTTCCCATATGAACACATGTTAATTTTAGAGATTGTTCGAATTGAACCGTATTACCAACTAATTTTCTCAGAATTTGATGGAGAATACGAATATGAAGTCAAATTTTGAAAATCTCAAAGGTAAAAGAAGTTGTTTCGGATTGCCCCAAAACCATTTCCCACCCATTTTGGGTGGGTGGTAAAAATGCCTTTTTCCCACTTTTTCCCGCTGCCCTGGTCAATTTGGTTTTTACCAATCGAAACCCTGGTAAGGCGTGACCAATTTTCACATAATTTTGATCTATGTACAACAAAGTGTACACTTTTGGACAATAGGTACAAACAAAAATTTGAAATGGATAATAATATCCAACCTTAAAAATGCAAAGGTTAAAAAATTGTGAAGAAATAGAATTCCTGTTCGTTCAAACAAATCAGAGACAAACTTACAATGGAACCTTTTTTCAAGCTACACGAGATAAGCTTAGTGACCTATGCTACAAAATCAAGCTAAAACTAAGAAATGACGTGGTACTTATCTTTCCGTTGAATGGGCACTTGGAGGTCAAATATTTGAGGGCAAAGTTCACAGTTCACAGCGGCCTGTTTTTTTCTCAAGCGGGCGAGCGGAGGAGTGAAAATTTTCTCTTTCGAGGTCACTCCGCCCCCTTTACTCTCCCACGCTCGCACCTTATTCAACGCATATTATTTTTGACAAAATTTCACAATCTCCTAAATTGGTGCATACATTCATATAATTTTATATTTGCTTTTTAAAATCCTATTATCCGTATTAAAAAAGTGACGATGGGTTCAATAAATTAAAACTTATAATTTATAAAATATAGCGTATATATATTTATAGGAAATATAAAATCATATGAATGTATGGAAAGATAAGTACCACGTCATTTCTAATTTTTGGCTTGATTTTTTAGCATAGGTCACTAAGCTTATCTCGTGTAGCTTGAAAAAGGTTCCATTGTTAGTTTAATTTTTCTAAATGGTTAAAATCTGTCAGTCTGTCCGATAACCTATTAAAATATGTTGCTCCTAATTTTTCAATGAGTAATAGGAGTAAAATATCTTTTAACGTGGGTTGAGCATGAACTAATTACTAAAAAATTGTGTATACCATTCTTTAAAAATACAGAAATATAGATTGTAGATTGCAAATACATACACAAATTTTGATAAATTGACTCGATTTTGAATTAGAAATAATTCTAATTCAAAATCGATTTGGAGACAGACAATTAAATTAGGGGACAGATTATTATGTCAGAATCGACTGCGTGAAATTAATTATTTAAAAAAACCTTAACTTTTGATGGCTAGATGGCAACGACGCCTACAAATACGAGGGGATCGCGTGTCACATCTTCCCCCACCCGGAGGACGGCACGGTGCCCCTGTTCCGGTACTATTTGCCTTATCAGGGCGTTTTCGGGGACCATTATTACACCACGAACTGGGACGAGTTGGGGTCCGGGAGGAGGGGGTATGGCTTCCAAGGGGTGCAAGGGTACGTCTTCCCGACCCCGATGAGCTCCACGGTGGCCTTGCATATTTACCACAACGTGGCCAATGGGGACCATCTCTACACCACGAATTGGAATGAGTTGGGGGTGGGTGGGGGTGGCTACGTGTACAACGGAATTGCTGGCTATGTCGTGCCAGAAGCGAGGAGAATAAATCCAGTGAATGTGACCAATTTCTTGACAAATTATTGAAGTTTAGTAGCGGTTCAGAAAAAAGGGCTCTTTAAGATTTATTTTTTTAATCAGGATTTTTATGCTTTTGATAAGGTTGGTTTGTTAATAAAATGTGTACGTGATATATAAAATGCGGAATAAAGATGATTTGGGTTAATTTGTTTATCCTGATTTGTATTATCATAATGCAATTATATAACCGGGATATATCCCACTTGTACATAAATATGTACCTAAACCCGAGAAACATACAGTACGAACGCTAATTAATTGGTCATAAATATGTATAGTTCAGCAATGTAAACTTATTCTTCCGTAAGGCTTACACAGATATGAATATTTCTGTTTTTTCAAATTAATTCTTCCCCATAATCGAACTGGGGTTGTTTGGACTATATAAATATTTAAATATGTATACCTGCTGATACCTTAATGTACGTTTCGAGGCCTGATCATCAGTACAGACAGGTAAGTAAATTTCCATCCTATTTGTTGCAAAGTATCTTTAAATTAGGGAGGAATTCATACCTACATATTTGTCGAATCATTTCCCCATAATTATTACCGAACAATTGATATGACCAAGATAAGATTTGACCAAGATATTGTCTCACCTGTCCAGGCTTATCTTGATTGATGATACGTAAAATAGGTCCCATTTACTCCTGGGATTTACCAATTGACGTCAGTTCGATCCAGATACTTGCACAAGTTACACCTTTTTAAATTTTTACAATATTTCCAAAAAATGTATAAATTTATTCTATATATCTTTCTCTTTTTCGCCGGTGATGCAAATTCACACGGCACGATTGAAGGTGTAAAGTCCACAATTTTGGGTGCGGTCGACCCACTCCGGCGGTGTGGCGGACTAGCCACCCAACGCCAACTGAGGATCAGTGGGTGTGACGGGTACTGTAGATTCACGCCTGGGCAAATCTACAATTGCGAGAACGACTTTATGCCAAGTAAGACATGGTTTGTAAACTTGGCAAACTTTAATGTGTTTTTAATTCAGAAAATTCTGTACACTTGTAAAACTGAATTCTTTACAAATTTAAGAAGGTGTTTGGAAAAAATATACAGATTTTCTTAATTTTTTTCTGAAAATTTATGAAATTTGTGTAGGTTTACAAAAGGTTGAAACTAACTGTAAATATTTTATGCGAGTTTGACTTTTCTAAAATTGGTAAATGTTGGTACAAATTTGAAATTACTCGATTTATTTACGTAATTCATTTCCATGCATGCTTATAATCCTGTAAACTTTAACTCTTTCTCAACATTATTTTAAAAACATGTTACGAGAAGTCGGTTATTTTTGTTACAGAATTTTGTCCAAATTGTGCAACATTTCGAATCAAATATTTATTAAATTGCAGGTCAGGCCATCCCCCAGTTAAATTTGAGGGTGGAGATTTGCCTGAGCGGGGACATTTGTATGACCATTATTAATTACGAGATGCCCAACTCGTCCGTCCAGCCAGGATTTCTTTACACCGCGAAATACTCCTTCGTCCCGAATGACATCTTGTCCGGAAGGACGGTCGAATTTAGGGCGTCACTCCTGCACTCGAACGATCTCCATGTCGAAGTTTGCGTCGCGGCGGATGTTGATGTCCTCTAATAAAAGCTGAATACATTCAAAATCGTTAATAAATGATTGAATTTTGATGGTTTTATGGAAATCATGTCCCAAATTTTCTTAAATATGTACATGTAGAATTGTTGTGCATCCATGTTTCAAATGAATGAAGTAATTCTTACAATAAATTCCGAATCGAACCAAAAATCCAGCCGCTACTCATTAAATAAACATGCTTTGGTTTGACTGCTTTAAATAATTATTCAGTAGCATGCATACACTGTTAAAAATCATGTAGGACTTATGTGCTGGTATTGATTTGGTAATAACTTCTTACCGGATTAGTATCAATTTTTTCCTGAGTAATAAGTTTTGTTTAGTTAGTTTCTTTCCTATTTGTAAATAAGTTTCCGAGTGGTAAAGAAATTTTTCGGTCCATAACATTACCTAAAGTAAAAAATGTTCTCCTCAATAATGCTAAACTCTTTACCCACATGCACCAGTAGCCCTAAATATGTCTTCTAGTAAACTCCAAATAATTGGAGACAATTCGTCACCCGACGGAGGTATTCTATTTTTGGGTAATGATTAAGGAGATGTTTTATCACCAAAAGGAAATAGGGTAACAACTCGTATGTCAAGAGTACGTGACGTTGCTCTAGAAAAATTTGAAACTTTAATGTTAAAAAATCTTAATTCGCACAAAAATTCTCAATTTCTTATAACGACGCCACATGCATGACACATGAATTCTTGACTTGTTTCCCGTTGGTGATAAAACGTCTCCTAAATCATAACCGAAACACAGAGCACTGTTCATAGTACCTTGGCGGGTGTTAATTTGTCTCCAGATTGTTTAGAGTGTACACACTTTTCCATTAGGTATATGTATGTATTTATGTATGTATGAAGTGAATAAGGGTCCTGTCCCCGAGAATTGGGGCAGGCACACAATACGTACTGAAGGTAAAGTTTATAACTGTGTAGCAAGGAAAACTTACCCTTTTTCAAGCAACCTTGACACAAAATAACACAAGGGGCCATCCATATATTACGCCATCAAAAATATTCTAGATTTTAGTATCCACCCAGGGTAAGGAAAACTCCGGGGTTTTGCTATTGAAAACCCAAACCCAGGGGTATTACCTGGGTTTTGCGGGTAGTCGGGGTTTTGGGGTAAACTGTGGCGGTGTTTCATGCATTAAGTTGTGAAAAAAATCTATGTTTTCAGTAATTTCACAACAAAGTTGCTCATTAATTATATTTTAATAACTTATTAAACTGTATAATTTCTAGTACTGCCCTATTATCATAGTTTGTAAATTTTAAAACCATTACTACCCCGACCACCCGTGGGTATTACTCAAATTTAGTACCCCAAATCCTATCAAAAACCCACGGTATTCCGACCCCGGGTTTTACTGGGTCGGGGTTTTGGGGTTTCACTGGGATTTACTGGGTCGCAAATCAGTAAAACCCAGCGGGTTTTACTATGTTAAAGGGGTATTACTCGGGTTTTACTGGGTTTTACTCGGGTTTTACTGGGTTTTGCTCGGGTTTTACTAGGTTTTATCTCAAAGTCAAATACATAAATCAATGGAGTCAGTTTACAAGCACATATCTAACTCGAATTATGTACTCTGATTAATATTATGTAAATTTCTATATTTTTTCAAATTTGATTTTATGATTTAAAATTTACAGCTTAACTTGGAGTTTGATCATGTTAGTATTTTTCTGGGTGTTCCTGGCCTTTTGCATTGAAGTTTTATGGTAAATCTTGAAAAATATATTAATTTTACAAATTAGTGTAACATTGTAATTTTTAACGGTTCACCCCAAACATTGAGTAAAACCCAGTGAAACCCAGTAAAACCCAAAAACCCAGTAAAACCCAGTAAAACCCCGGGGTAGTGGTTTTCGAGGTAAAACCCCGGGTTTTTACTAACCCTGCAAAAACCGCAATACCCCAATACCCCAAAACGCGGGGTAGCTTGCCCACCCAAGGTATTAAGTGATAAAGAATTTTAACATGCGAACGATAGGAATGTATATGTACCTAAAGCACCCACCCACTAAAATTATGACATAATATATGAACATTCCCGAAAGAATGCTGCCCAAAACATCTCGCTTTCTTCTTTTTCCACCCTCACGGTCATTCAGCCTTTGTCTGTCCGGCAGAAACATTTCTGGAAATTTCTATAAACGTATCCTACTCTAAACTTAACTCAAAATGGGACAAGACTTTTTCCCGAAACACTACTTCTACGGGGTTATCATCTCCATATTAGTGATAACCCAGGCCACCTGTTACAAAATCTTTAACGGTCACGAAAACTTGGACATAAGCGATGGAGAGGGAGCGATTTATGATTGTGTCCGACTCTGCGCTTATCTTTTGGTGGCAATCTTAACCGTTCTGCTTTACCTGGCGGTCTGCGCTTATCAGGTGTGCACGGTTGGGCTGGAAGATGGCGGCTGGTTGGGCAAGGAAGAATCCAATTCCTCAATTAAACGTTCCAAAGCTACTCAACTACACGACAAGGTACAAAATAATGCCAATTCATTATCGACTTTTAAAATTTCGAAGAGCGGAAAGACGGATTTCGAAAATCGTAAATGTCAAATAACGTTAAGAATTCGTTTCCGCGAGGGAGCGCCAACCACGGCGGAGGTACTTGACGAGGGACTTGGACTTATCGGTGAACAGGTACGGATAAGTGTTAAATGATTTGGAGTTTTCAGACCGAGGTTATGTATTTAATTATTATTAACTTTTTATGTTATCATGACCGACAGTCAAACTTTTTTGGAGTATTCCGTAATTTTAATACATAGATCACAAAAATTTCAAAATAGTTTTACATATTTATTACATATTTCTGAGTAAATATATTTTCAGCCAGACAAATAGTTTTGTTATTATTTGACAAATACTTAAATCTTTTTTCCACAAATACAAGTGTTTTTTGCAAATATTATGTAACTAAATTATCCGCTCAAAGAAATTGGATCACAAAAAATCCAGAGAATGAAATTTACAAGTGCAATTTTTGCCAAAATGCATATTTTTACTGTACGGGCGTACATATTTCGTGAATACTATGTCGTGTTTTTGTAAACACGCACCAATTTGTCGTAAATTAATATCCATCCCCTCGTAATTTTCTGTAAGTGTATAAATGTTTATTTGGATTTTACTGAATGTTTCCAGTTTGGAGATTCGAGTTCAGCAGAAAGTGTGGACTCAGACAATTCTTCCCAGGCTGCGACAGGTAGGATAATTAGCATCGAATTAAGCTTGAATTTATTTTAGTACAAAACGTATAGACTGACGGTTACATACGAAAATTTGTAAACGCTGTATACGATTTTGTCATCAAAATTCAAGTTACGATTTTCACTACGCTTGACTCCTTATTTTTTCTACGTAAACCATTTTAAAATACGAAGGATATCTATAAAAAAAATTAAATTTACGTAATAGTAAAACAAATTCTACGAATTTACCTCGGAGAAAAATTTGTTACATGTTTTTCTTTTTTGCAGACCAGGTATTTTATCCCCCAGAAAAACCTACAAATCGGACAGAACCATTTATGAAAAGTTCGAGACCCAGGGAGCAATTTGCATGCATATTTTGCAACAGGAGGTTTACAAATGGTTATAATTTATCGATCCACGAGGAGACCCATACAAATGAGAAGCCATTCTCGTGCGATATTTGTGGAGAGATGTTCCGGAGAAAGGAGGAGTTGAGGGGTCATAGGTATAGGTACACTCAACACAGAAATTTGTCAAATCAACACCGCCGGTGTCAATATATGACTTAACCGACGTGGTTAGAATTGTGATTCCGAGTGGTAATGAAATTTTTCCGTCCGGTCATAACATTAGGACTATCAGTATCAAAATCATCATAACTCGGAATCAACATTTTAACCAAGGCGGTTAAGTCATATATTGACACCGGCGGTGTTAATTTGTCAAATTTTTGTTTTGAGTGTAATAGTTTTGATGTTGTCGGGATAACTGGTAACATCCTCATGGTAACAATTTCCACAGATACGTCCACCGCAAGGATAAACCCTTCAAGTGTACCGGATGCGGAAAGAGCTTCTCTCACTCTCGAACGCTGGCCGTGCACAAAGTTATTCACAGACAAGAGAGCCAAACCACCCCAACTGTTCCACAAACCATGTTTCCATATTGAGCGAGAAAGTGAGAAAAACTCGGATTCAGGTGGGATCCACCACCATCGCGCAACAGTGCCGTATCCGTCTCACTTTCTCTTTCACAAAAACCATGCAGGATTAATTAAATTTTTGCTTATCAAAATCGTTTAATTTTTGTCATTATTAATTCACATACACATGTTTTAATTTCGGACGATAAGGATAAACGAAATTTGCTTATCTGAAAAATTGATAAGCATAAAGATAAGCCCCGTAGCGTTAATTTTCGGGTGGATATCGTAATTATAAATCCAGAAGGGTTTAGTTTTAAATTTTGGGCTATTTGAATAAGCGGAATTTGCTTATTTGAAAAATTGACAAGTACAGTGACAAGCCCCTTGGCATTAATTTTCTACTGGATATTATTATTATTAATTTCGATAAGCTAAAGTTTTTAATTTGGGGGGATTAGATAGTTAAAATATCCCAAATTTTAAGTTCGGTAACTAGTAGCAAGGGTTTGTTACGGTTCTTGCGTGTTTAATTCTTTATCTGAGGCTACATATGTAACTATCGTGGTTTGGTCAAAATCGGAGCGCAACCGCTGGCGTCATCGCATTGTTAGATACCTTGGTACTTGGTACATTGACATTTAAAGAATTTTATTCAAAACTTGAGCAATAATATCCTTAATTCTACCGCTATTCTACCGCTTCGCTAATAATTTATCACCCAAGGGTAGTATCTGCTCACCCCCAATGTCAACGCTCTGGTGATAAAATATTGCCGAGATCTGAGCCAATTTGCTACCCTAAGGAGACAACTTGTTACTATAACCCTCGAATTGCATAGTAACTCCGCGGGTGACAATCGTATCAACAAATTATTGAGAGGGTAATTTGACAGGTCTCACAATGCCCTTATAGATAACTCCAAATCATATTTGGACCCACCCCACGATAGGGGGTGTGGTCAAAGTACAAATTTGAAATTTTTGTTCAAATTCAGTCCAGAAATTGTTTTCACCGAATGATAATATTCCATAGTTTTACGAAATATTGTTAAACAACTGCGTACACATTAAGATAGTCTAATGTACAGATACTTTTAATATGTACAATTAGGGCTAATTGAACTCAAGTTTAATCAAAATTAAAGGGGTTACATATGAAATATTCTGTTGGGGTATGTTTACTAAAATGTAGCAGATGTATTTCGAAATTGCTCCAGAGGTTTCTTTAATTCAAGATTATTGATTGTGTGGACATAGACAATATATTGGGGCATATTTGGATATGATACATACATATTTACTCCTTAATTTAATTATTGAGTTTAAACTTTAAAGGTATATTTGTTATAAATAAAGGAGAGTTTTTACTATTCGTTGTGACGATATTTTATTGAAATCTGGATACACGTTATGATCTCTGGAAACTTGTATAAAACACATGTGTAATTATTTCCATTTCGATATTTGTTGGCTTTCACAGTGAGACTTATTAAGGAATCTGTGCATAATCCGACAAATCCACATGTTACAATTTGCAAGGGATATGTAGCTCAATAAATAATTTCCACATTTTTTTCACAAGATTCAATAATTCTGTCGAACATTATATTGATTGACATCGTAGAGCTGATCTTTACATTTGGAGTTTTTCGGGCAGAGCCTCACCCTATTTGGTCCCTTCCGATCGACGCGATATCTCTATAAGGAGAAATAATCAGAATGAGATTGGCCGAATTTGGAGCAAATGGTAATTTTTATTTTATTTTTGGCAGTACCAGTGGTCGAGGTGGCCCCGTATTTCTTACTGAAACGTAAAAAAATATGGATTTATATTTTTCTCCGTTTTATTAAAGGGTGCAACCCTTTTATGGAAATGTCTTGTCAATCTATTCAGCTGTGTGTCTGCCTGCCTAACTGTATGTCTGTCTTTCCATCTGTGCACTGTAAATAATTTTGAGACGAATCGCCACCCGCGGAGATACTATAGTGCTCTATTTTTGGGTAACGATTTAGGAGACGTTTTATTACCAGGGGGAGATAAGCCAAAAACTTGTGTATCAAACACACATGACGTTCTGAATTAAACAAAATTGAAAATTTTTATCTGACAATAAGATTCTGTTTTACATGGCAGTATTGAGTTTTTTATATGACGACGCCACTGTGTTTGATACACGGGTTTTTGGTTTATCTCCCCATGGTGGCAAAACGTCTCCAGTAAATCATTACCAAAAAGTAGAGCACTATAGTACCTCCGTTGGGTGACGATTTGTCTCCAAATTATTTAGAGTATACGTCCACCCGTCTGTCTGTCTGTCCATCCGTGTGTCTGTCTCCTTAGCTGTATGTACTATGTCCATCCGTCCGTCGGTCCAACCGTCTTCTCGTCAGCCTGTCCATCAGTCTGACGGGGTATGACTTTATCCCCTCATTTCATTGGTAAAAGTGACATTTTCTCCAACAACCCATGGTTTTCGCCCTTTCGCTACGTTCGTTTCAATTATCCTTTAAACTTACGGATCCTCTCCCGCTGGTAGTACCCCTTCCCGCCACGGTACCCTGGCACGTAGCTGACTCGTTCAACAAGCCGCGGAGGAGGATCGTGTCCAAAATTCCCACCGCCATCACTATAATTATCCTCGTATGCGTATCGATTAATTGGAGGTCTTCCCGCAACAAAGGAAACAATTATCGCGAAGACAAACTGTGTAAAATCGAATCATAATTATTTCAACAAAATAATTCATTAGAGTTTGCCTGGTTACAGCTACATACTTTAACAAAAAAAAATAAAGTTCGCAAATTTTTCTGCGTGAAAAAAAATCCTTGCAAATTTGCTTATCTGAAAGCCTGGCTTATGTATTTTGCTTAATAAAATATTTTTTCAAAACTAAATATGCTGCGATGCAGATACATAAATATTTATACACATACATATGCGTAGTAAAATTTTTTTTGTAAAATTAGTTTTACGACTTATGTATGTTTTAACGTACGAACAAAACTCACCAGAACACTTCCCAAATCCATGTGGACTATTTTGTCTTTATCAACTAACGTATCTCATTTATTTATTAGTTAAAAATAATATAATTCTGTAAATAAATTTATTCACTAACACTTTTCATGAATAGAACATACTTGAACAGAAGACTTTTAAATACTGGCGAATAAAATGAGCTTAATAAAATAGCGTGGACACGTTTACGTATAAGATTTGCATGCATTTTATGTGACTGTATGTGCGTACATATAACGGGCCATGACCGATTGTCGTGACGGATCAGGATTTTATGCGAGATTTGTGGGCCACAAATTGTGGCAAGGATTTTGTGCACCTATGTATATATGCAAATATGTATGCAAATATGTATTGTTGGATTAGATATGCAAGTAAAACGCATATTGTAAAATGTGTGCTGTTTACAGCGGTGTGTCACTTACTTTAAAGCAATTTTTTGCGTAAGTGTATTTATAAATGCTTTCAATTAATTTTCTGAAATAGCTTCACTCTTAAAAATTTTAAATTATGTTACCCTCCTCAAAGTAAATGTAGTCTCAATTTCAAGAACTGTTAAAAATTCGGTTGAACAAGAAATATACAATACTCCATAATACTGGTATTGAGTTGGTAATAACTTCTTACCGGATTGATAGTGGTTGGTCTCTGAGGTGTAAATTTTCTAGTACAATAATGTTAAATGGAAATTCCCGTTATTTATTACCGTGCCGTTTATGTGACATATATGTCACACAAATAATGTATACATATTTATTTATACTCCAGCCTGTAAAGATTTAATACCTTTTCTGTATTAAAGTAAACTATAGTAAATCCAGTATCATCATTTAAAAAAGAGTATATTTTTCTATAAATTACGTAAAGTTTGCTGAATTTTAAATTCAGATTGCATTTACTTAAGGTAACACTATTTTTTAGCGTGTCCCTTTACAAGTTGAAAGATTCCAATATATGTACGCTGTTATTTAGATACACTCTTAGCAACTTGGTAAAGAATTCCTAATAAGCGTCTTTACCGAGCTCTTGGTAATTACGCGTCCTACAAAAAGTATACGGGATTATTACCGTATCAATACCAAACGGGTAACTAGCCTTCCACCGCAATATTTTAAGCTATCTTTATAATTTTGGTAATAAATTTCTACCAGCTGGTAATAATGTCGTTCAAACTTATATAGCACTCTTTACCATAATTTTAATCAAGTGCAGTACAAATTTTTTCCGTTGTGGTGCTGATGAGATCTACATTTTGGTGTAGTTTATTACCACACGGGTAAGAATTTTAATACATTTTGTATGAATTGTGAGACGCTATGCAGCGGCGCTTTTTTCAGTTTTAGTTTCCGCTCAGCTCAACTCAAGTCAACATGCCGAAATAATCCCCGTGTCCAATTCCAAATTCTGCATGTGGGAAAAACTGATAAAAACCTTTGGAAATTAAATAGGATTTTAGGAAACAGGTAAGTATAAAATTATCATAGGTAGGTTCCTTATCAAGATGGTGATCGAGCACCATCTTAATAGGAACGAGTTTATAAACGAGTTTATAAAATAAACTTATGTTTATTTTTTCAGTGAAACGAAAATTTGAGTTGGAAATCGGAGCAGAGATTTTTCTGCAAGACGACCAAGGGGGCGGAGATCGACGACGAAGTATTCCTATCCTTGCTGAAAACCTTATAACCCAAAACTTTGAATTCTTTGTCAAAGGCGAAATACAAACCGAAGTAAAATTGGATCCGGCCTGTCCAGTTTCATCAATAATTTACGGTCAGTAATTTATTAAGCTTAAATTATTTCTAGTCTGCAACATATTATATCTTTCTAGCTGCACGTCCTGATGAGACGTCGATATCCAGTAATGGTTTCCGAAAAACCCAAATTTCCAATGAGGTTGATATTTTCAGTCAGGTTACAATCATTTAATGATATTCTTAGATATCCGAAATCCGAAAATAATTATATAAAATTATTTTTAATTTTTGAAGATTGTAAACGCTGCAACGACTGAGAGCGCCGAAATTTCCGTTTAGTACCAGAGTGCAATCAGAAAAACTGCTTCGATAAACCGTCGTCGACAACTTTAGTTAATGAATTGGTTGCGTAGTTATGTAATTGAGGTGAAAGTTTGAGACGCTTAAGAATTCTTAATATTTAATAATATATTTAATTTGACCAATTAAATTTCAGACTTTCTCCTACAACCTCCGACCAGAAACACTTAACAGCTGTAATAATTAAGCTACTGCCTTCATTGAGATGTTCTAAGTCAGGGGACGGTCTGGTGAGTGAAAATTTCGTGAATTATTTAAATTTGCTCTTGTATTGAGAGTTTCTAAAAATTGTGAATTTTTAATCTGCAGGACATTTTATTTGATGACGTCAACCGATGTGGACTCATCCAAAATCGACGATTTATCAGAATTTGAAGGGGGAATAGAAGAATAAATATGTAAATATGTATATGTATGTATGTAACTCAATAGTTTGCATTATTCTTAAATTTTGTAATTATGTAAGTATGTTTTAAAATGATTTTACAACGAATATAATTGATTAAAAGATTATTGTAAAGAAAAGCAAAAAATCCATTCTTTTCGGTGGAAATCTGCACAACATTTGGTAATAATGGGGTATACGTAATGCAAAGCATTAATACCGGTATGAATAGCACACCGTGTACAAAGTGGTACGGTTTATTACCTGGCGGTAGACATTTTACAACATATTGTAGTACATCTGTCATACATCATGGTGTTAATTTTATCCCGAAAAGTGTTCTTTATTACCACTTCGGGTTCAATCAATTTCTTTACCAGCCGGTGGTTATTATTACCGTTTCTGCAGAGTCATATACGTGTGCATTTTGGTAATGATTTGGTAATGATTTTATTTAGAGTGTAGTGCATGTATGTGCAAGACAAAAAGTAACGTAAATAGTAGCAAAAATGCAGTATTCACACTTAAAAAACCTGATCCAACATTTCAACCAACACTGACTGACCATCTATTTATTAGTGAAGGCTGCTTCGTCGTTGGTGGTTCACGCCGTGTTTAACACTTGAGTGGATACGGTTTTACGCTTGCCAAGCAGGAAGCATTGGTGACTTGCTATATGTACAGGCTGAATAACTAGATAATTTTGCTCCCCATTCACTCCATTAAACGGTTACAAATTAAATTAAAAAATCGATTTTAGTTCCTTTAAGTAAACAATGGTGACACAGCAAAATTTGTAATAGTTAAGGTGTATTACATACTTATTAGTAATATACACATATGTATAGGACTAATGCTAAATCCTTCCTACATACTTATCCTTAGCACTGTAAAATTCGTAAATTCTGCAAACTTAAATAGAAACTTTGAAAAAAAAAGTTAGAAATATTTTAAGGGAAAATTATGTATGTAGCTCACAAACTTTTATGAAACTATTCATTCTCATCTTACAAAAGCGTCTCATTATTTCCTAAGTTTGTAAATAAATATTCTAACCAAAATTAACGATTTGAATTTTAAATTTCCAACACACTCTTAGGCAACTGGTATTACATCATTACTGTATGGGGTGCATATTACAAGTGCGTGTATGTGCATGACTCTTACCGGCACGGTAATGACAAGCATTATGGTTCACAAGTCGGGTGATAATTTAAAAAAAGTTTCCCTTGTAAATATGCAGGCGAACGTTATCAAAAATAAAATTTGTAGTCTGGCAAATGCGTAACAGTTTTATTCGAAATTTAATTTAATTTCTGAGGAAATTGGGGAAAGGGTTGACTTATTCGTACTTTTCCATTTTGTCGATAGCAAGGCGAACATTGGTTTCGGTGTCGTCCATTTCAGACTCCCAAATCATTTTACCTCGACTTATGTTTCCGGGTAATTGACCCTCTGTCGGAGTATTTCTGGCGGTGCGAGAATTCGCAGGGCCTTTTCGCATTATCCTCGGCGCTTTCCGCGCAATTCGACCGTCGTTCGCGACTTTTCTAGCGACCCGGCCATCGTTTGTACCCTTTCTCGTAGCTTTTCTCGCGATTCGGCCATCGTTCGGCGCTTTTCGAGCGACTCGACCATCGCCTGTACCTTTTCTGGTTGCCTTCCGCCCGACGCGACCATCGTTCGGCGCTTTTCTCGCGGCACGATAGCCCCCCATTCTCTGACCAAGGGCGGCCGACGCTACAACCACCTGTGAAATTAGAAATCGTGTTAATCCATGTTTGAACTGGGGTATTAACTTTGTGATTAAGGTGATTTTTCTGTGATTTGTGATATCACTAGGGCAAAGTGAGACATTAACCTATAGTAGAACAAAACTAGATTAAACTGGGTAAATGGAAAACATCTAACAAGGGAAGGTCCCCGACTGCTTATCGTGTCAAAGGTACCCACCATGTTTTTTAGAATCTACTAGGACGCCAGAGGAAGGATTCATTCATATTTCCGTGTCAAACTCATATGTGGCGTCGTGCCGTGGCGCCAAATTCGCCAAATTTGAATGTTTTTATTTTTGAAACCGCCATAACTTTTGAAATCCTTGACGGATTTTCAATATTTTTGGCAAAAATCATGACAAGGAGTTCAACTTTCATATCCCATGAAATTTTTTCCAAAATTATCGCTTTTAACTTTTCGCAAAATTTCATAATTTTCTTACAAATGGGGGTTCGTCGAAAAAATGCTAAAAATATCTCAAAAATTAGAAATTTTTGATTATTGTTTTTTTCTCGAAAATTTCGACGTTTGTGATCATTTTAAGCATACAAATTTGAAAATCCGACATAAACTGCAAGAGTTATGAGGGTTTGAAATTGGTCGAAAATGCAAATTTTTAAGCTTGGTGCCACGCCATGGCGCCAAATATGAGTTTTACACGTAAATATCAATTAATCCTTCATCTGGGGTCCTAGTAGATTCTAAAAAACATGGTGGTTACCCTGGACACGATAAGCAGTCGGGGACCTTCCCTTGTAAGTTTAAAATATGTAACTTTGAAGTATTGAAATTTTTTACTTATGCATATTAGAAACATTTAAACTTGTAAATTAAAAGTAAAAATTTGGAATATGTAAATTAAAAGTATTGAAATTTATAATATGTTGTATAATATAAAATGCGTAAATACCCACCACGGCCGTGGTCGCTGCAAGGAAAGTCGATAAGAGAACCTTCATTTTCCGTCTGTTATACGAAATACGAGTTCATCTTGCTTTTCAACTCTTAAATTGACATACATGATCTGCACCCTCGTTAAAATACTATTAGATGAAATGCTGTATTTTTCCAGGTGGGGAACGTCCACACATTACGTCATCAGAAAGGATAGGGAAGAGGTGGGTAGAAATGGGCGTTGTAATACATGTACGTTCCCTTGCTAATTATGCAGTTGCTGTGTATGTATCACAGAATTATACTATATAGTAAATCTAGAAGGCGTACTGAACGAGCGATAGTAGCCACCTTATGAGCGCCCGTCGTGGTCCTCAACCAAACTAATAATACACTGGCAGGCTGGCACACAAGCGCCACGGGTAGTTGTCTCGAGCAACTCAATACACAGATAGGTATGTGCGCCACCGTCGCTCCATTTGAGACACAACTTGTTCACTCAAAACCAAAGCAAAGACAGGGTGCTTGGTATGTATATGTACATTATGTGATAAGTTGAGAATATGCTAGGCTTAATTACTCGGAGATGCAAGGTCCATAAATTACGTAATCATTGTAGTAGGTGGGTGATTAAGGTCTTTCTATCTCTTCCATGTGAAAATTCCGTATCTCTTAATATACCCATAAGTTAGATGGGTGGGTGCTAAAATCAAGAATTTTTTATGACGTAATATATGGATAGCCCCAGGTGTGCATAATATTTTGTCTGATTAGTACGACCATTTTTATAGGATTGGGCATGTATCTGTTATGAAATATGGTATATAGTATCAAAAACAAGCTAAAAAACAGTAATTTAAGGAAGAAACGTGCATGCATTGCGTCATCAAACAGGTACATGGATGGTTTTGGGTCTCAGTTCTTCTACCTTACCCGGATTAGTTAAATTTATGTAAATAAATACCTCCCGTTCTATCTGACAACGTCAATTCTTCCCTTTAAGCCGTATTTAGGTATGTCAATATTGATATTTCATTGTTACATTATTCAGCCAAGTCATCAATCGAACATTAAATAATTAACATGTTTAGTTGGACTCTTTCGTAATTTGATTATCCAATTTTATTAAAAAACTTGGATCGATTTTCGAATCATGATGATGTAATTTTTACTTCTGAATTTCCGTCGGGTCGTCAGCATTTATACAGTTTATTAATCCTTTCAATGTCACTCTTGTCCAGGCCATGTTTTTCTGACGGGTCTCGCAAAACGTGGCCGAATTTGCTTCTCATCGTCTCACTGGCGCCATCCTTGGAGAACGCGGCCTCCCCGTAGTGCATAATGCTGTCGGTATCGTACCCGTTGAGGAGACGATTCTGGGCAGGGAGCATTTTTTCAAATCGATCCTCGTAACCTGTCGAGAATCAAGACATTGATTTATTAAGGAAATTATTTTTTTAGATATTAAAAAAATTTTGAGTAGAATATGCACAATTCAATTTTTTCCACGATTTAAACAAGACCGATTAACATGGCCAATAGTATAGTTGCACCGATAAAACCGGAATTTTGTCCAAGAAAAGTCAAATTTTGAAAGGTAAAATTTTGACAAATTTGGGACATTTGGATTTGACAAATTTGCAATAGTTTAGTATAAATTTTGATAAAGGTACATACATGCCTGGCTTGAGGTATTGCGTTTTAGATTTATGCAAAACTGAATTATGCAAAGTGCAATTATGCCAAGTGCAATTATGCAAAGGGCAATTATGCAAAGTGCAATTATGTAAAATTGCATAAACGTATATATGTGGAAAGTAGTATGTAATTATTAATGTAGAACTTATCCAGGCAGACAAATAATGCAACAAATATGAATTATGCACATATTTAAGGTGTGGATGACATCTGCGAATTATGAAAAATGGCCCAAGAATATTTTAAAGACACGATCACGCTAATTTCTGGAAAAGAAATTACCTTGTCAAGGTAGATTCTCACCTGGTTGGACATTACTCCAAAATATGACGATGTAATCGTCCCTATCGCTCCGATCGTGTTCATGATACAGGCCAACCGTGTGCCCCAACTCGTGCACGATGGTCCCAATGTCCACGCAGCCACGCCCTATCCCAAACTCTTGGCGGCCCGAGAGCCAATACCCGACGTATGAGTAGCACCCACCCTCGCCCGTCTGGACGCCCAGGTAATTCTCCTCATTTCCGCGAGGAACGAATTTTACGCAGGTAAAGTTATTGAACTGCTGGGTCGCTTGGATGAAAAGAGATGTGTATTGTGCTAATAAAAAATGTTAAAATTTTTAATTAATGACGGAATAAATGAGATCCGGCAATAATATGGACAATAAAATATGGACTACAAAATATGGACTGAACTAGACGTGGACAACATGCATAAGTACAGACGCACATAGTCAAATTATAAAAATGAATACTCTCTTCAAACGCGTGCTAAAATTATATATTATCGATTATTATTATATATTAATGATTAATAATTATGTACTATTCTACCAGAATGAGTCACAATTAATATATAATAGTGTAGTAAAAGCGTGCTAAATATTAAAATTTTGCAATTTGTACGCTCAAAACAAAAATTTGTCAAATCAACACCGCCCGTGTCATTATATGACTTAACCGCCTTGGTTACAATTGTGATTCCGAGTGGTAATGAAATTTTTCCGTTCGGCCATAACGTTATAACTACCGGTATCAAAATCATCATAACTCGGATTCAACATTGTAACCAAAGCGGTTAATTCATATCTTGACACCGGCCGTGTTGATTTGACAAATTTATGTTTTGAGTTTAGGTTCGGTAAAATTTTACCGGGCCTATAAATTGCAAAATTTTAATACCCAGTGAAAACAAGATTAATACCGAAAAATGAATGCGTACATGACTACATACATATGTCCTAAATTTATAATAACCTTGCTGAAAATAGTTTACCGGCAGATTTGTCAATTTCGTACGGAATGATTCCACCCGGCCAAAGTTGGTTATCGTTTGGTACGGCGGATCGGGTTGCATTTCGTAGAGCTTCCCGCGGAAATAACATGTCCCCAAATCGCACCGCGTCATTCAATCGGTGTCGAACTGTGCAGAAATTTAAAACTTTGACGACAAAATTGTGATTCTTTAGAATTTAGCTCCACAAGATGTCGAAATTTTATTTTGTATTGTCAAAAATTAAAAAAAAACTTCGACAATTAATGTCCAATAATTGTGAATAGACCATCACAATTCTAACTTATTGGATAAAGCCTAGTACTCAGGACGGATTTTTTACGGGAAAAAGTTTACCAACCATTTGGAGCATTTTGAAGTGAAACTCAAATAATCCCAGTGAACGAATATGTACGTTAATGGAAAACCGTTTCGCGTGAAAAATCCGTCCTGGGTGCTATGCTTAAACTTGGGAACAATTATGGATTGATTTTTTACTAAAGAAAAGACTACTCGCCCTAAGCTTTGCATGTGATAAGTCTCTAATTTAATAAAATCAAACCATAATAAAAAACTTTTGATACAGATAAATTACCCCGATTTCGCGACCAGTCTGACTCGCCCATTTTTTTGAATGAAAGAAAATCACTGCCTCCGATTACAACAGATATCATCCCGCTGAGGATCACGAAGATTAGAGAAGATGCCATGACAAGTACGAATATCAATGATAAAAATCTTACCTGCATTTATCCTTATATTCTAATTTTTGTTGAGGTAGGCACAGCACAAAACAGCGATGACGTCAACATTTCACCCATACATACATATGTGCAGCCAGATGGGTTATGCAATTAGTAATTAATTAAGGAATCATTTACGTGGGGCCGATGTTACGTACTTCAAACAATTCAGGGCGTACGGTACGCCTGACCTTGTACTTACATATTTATTTTGTATGTCGAAATAATTTGTTACATTATCATATACAGGGTGGTTTAAAAGTCAGGTTACAATGGAAACAGAGGATTATTCGTAAACACTACAATACGGGGTACTCACGTCAAGTCTTTAAGCAGCAATGCAACTCACAATGGAGGTCTCCCAACGTATGCTCACAGATTTGGACCAAACTGGTGTCAATCGATCACAAATATAATTAGTATGAAATTTGCAAATGGAACTATCTGCCAATGCTCAAGTTTAGCGAAGATATTTGCATAAAAGAGGAAAAAATGCACCACCAAGGCCAGCAAATTTTTCAATTTCCAAATTTGCTGCGCATTTTTCCCGCTTTTTATGCAAATATCTCCGCCAAACCTGCGCATTGGCAGATAGTTCCATTTGCAAATTTCCTACTAATTATATTTGTAATCGATTGACGCTAGTTTGGTCCAAATCTGTGAGCATACGTTAGGAGACCTCCATTGTCAGTCGTTGTTTTACGAAACCACAATTAAAATGCAAATTAATATGACAAACCTTATTTGGTGATAAAAATTCCTTCTGAATTTTTTTGTATTTATTATACATTAAAAATTCATTAATTAGTAAGTAATTACATAACTAGTAAATTAAGTAGATTAAATATGTAAGCACCATTATTTCTTATTTATAGTTATGCATTTTTTAGGTATCAACATGTACATAACTTCGCAATAACTACGTGTAAAGTAAGGTGACATAAGTAAGGTAATAAATACACTTTTAAAAATGTGGTGAAGTCACGTGGTATAAATTTGGGAATAACTTCCTCCCCGATTTAAGATATTTCCAAGTGGTAAATTTTCATTACCACAACGGTGCACTTCATTCCTACAGATACGGTAACGCTCTTTATTACCGTAATATATGCCCTCCGTGATTCGACACCATTTTGCTAAAAGTGTAAAAATTATGCGACAATTTAATTGATTACGATTAGATTTTTAATTAAATTCTAATTAACTCATCAAATTTTTTCCTACCTTTTTATTATTCCCCGTCTTTCAACATCTGTCCGAACAATTCGTTAATTTCTTCCATTTTAGCGTTTTCCTTGTTTCGACGTTTTTGAGCCCAAGAAGCGTATAAATTTATTACTGGCCAAAATGTGACCCGTTTTCTGGGTTTTTCTTGTTCGGCCTCAGAATCCGTTTCCATCCTGGACTCCTCGTGATTCCTCTTTGTTCCAACTTTTACGCGAATTTTTCTCGTATATTTTTCATTTGGCTGGTATTCTGCACTGCGAAGGGGGGTTTTTAAAATGGAACGAAGCTCCTTTTTCACGGGTGTATTTGGGGTTATCTCGGGGGTGGAAAGATTTTGGGGAAATTTCGAAATTTCTGAAGAATTAGCGCGACTGGTGGAAGGGAAGTTTCCAAAATATGAAGGGCCAGGATTGACGGTGGGGTTGAAATTGAATTCTTGACCGGTTTGGGTATTCATTTTCTTGGAAATTTCTAAATTTTGGGGATAAAACCACAATTAAATTTTCAACATTTGTGTAAATATGTACGTATCCTCTTTGTTGTAAGACGATGCATTTTTTGTTAAGTGAACAATTTACCCTGCTCTCTGCACGGTTCCATTTGTAAGTCGGTCTGGCTAAGTGGGGAATGTATGTGTGGCTCAATGAGAAGGTTGGAAATGTAATTTATGTAGCTGAAATTTAAAAAAAATATATTTTTTAAATAAGTATCTAAATATGTACACATTGTACAACGGAGATACATGAGACAATTATTAATTATTTCTGGAATAAGTTTCTATGAAAAACCAAGCACTTTCAAATCCATAGTGTCGAAGAGAAAATTGTTGATGTCAAATTTTGTCAGACAATTAATTACGAAATTTGCATAAAACTAACTAAATATTCATTATTTACATACTTCAAAACTTTACGGTGGGATAATTTTGTCGTCTTTTTCTACGAATGTCTTAATAATGGATTGCAAACCTCGAAATATTAACAAATTTCTAAAACTTTTTTCTCGTTTCTCCACCAATACTTACTTCAATAAAATTTCGATTAAAATTTATAAACGGTGTAAGTCCATATTAAGTGTAATTTATTTATGTACATACCAAATTGATTCCAAAGGTGCTGGAGTTGTGTGCGTGTAACCTTTCCAAGGGTGATTTATCATATGAGTGAGTAAAAAATTTAATTCCTCCGTCATGACAAAATTAGGTAAAAGTAAAATTAGAAACTCCAAAAATATGGGTCGAGTTGAATCAAGGGGCATGCGGGGAGAGAGTATGTATAGTTAGCGTTTTTTCTTGGAAGTCTTCCTCTATTTTTAAAAGGGCCCTTTAAAGTATGGACAAACTTGATGAAAAGGGCCATCCACAAGTTACGTATTTAATACTGAATGGTTGTTAGGCTGGAAGGGTCAGAGTTCATATAATATCGTGCCTATGTAAGTATGTTACACATGCTAATGGGGGGGTGGATGGGGGTCTAAAAAATTAAGATTTTTGCGTTCCGTAATTTATGAACGGCCACAAACTTGTATATAGGTTTGCCTTGGTTCATGTGATATTTTTTTGGTGTAGCAAATGCTGGACGCTATAGGACTTCGAGTTGGCTATTATTAAATACATACATATTCCTGTACAAATGACCTGTACAAATGTCACGTGCGTACATAGGATATGAATTTATGATTTACATACGATAAATAATACAATAATTTTGAGCTAATTGAATGCAATTATTTAATTAAAAAATGGTAGTTTTAATTATTCCAAATTTATAGGATGATTAAGTCTTCTACATATATAAATAATTGGATATGTTTTCGAATTTTTAAATAAACATGACGAAAATCATGATTCAAATGTACATATTAATCCGTACCATTTAAATATTAGAAACGATTGAGACTTGTCAAAATTATAATGTATGTAAATACGAGTTATAATCAAGTAATTGGTTTAAATTATCAATAAAAATTCCAGTAATATCTAATTGTAAGAATAAGTAGTTCTTAATTTTTCCAGTTTCGTAATAAGCAAGTATCCAAAATGACGTATTTATGTACGATTTCTAACCTCCTTCCAAAGTGATTTATGGTATTCGTGATATCATACAGGGTGGTTTAAATGTCAGGTTACAATGGAAAATTTTTCAATGGGAAAAATTCACAAATCTCCACTAGTTACAGAAATTTTGCCTCTGAAATTAAATATTTTAAGAATTTTGTCATCAGTGTTCCATGAGTTCTGATAAAAATTAATAAAAATCTCAATCCGTAACCCGTAACTAATGGAAATTTACGAATTTTTCCCATTGAAAAATTTTCCATTGTAACCTGACTTTTAAACCACCCTGTACATTAAAAAATATATGTCCTCTGTATGTCCATGACACTTAAATTTCTCAAAATACGAGAATCAGTATGAGGGGCCGTTCATAAATTATTTAACGCGAGAGGAGGACGGAGAGAGGAGGGGGATAAGATGCTGGAATTAGACATGCACCGAGTACCGAAAAAGTCGACTCGGCCGAGCACCGAGCGCTCGGTTAGAGGGTGTTCCGGAAGTAATGCAACTTTGGTAAAATGCATATATCCAAGGGTATCAATTTGCCCCAAATTCGAAATTGGGTGAATATTGTAGTCCACACATTTATCTAGTAGAATCCGAAAACCAGAAGTCGATATCTCTATCCGTTCCAAAATGAGGTCAAATACCACCAAGCAACTCGCAACCATCGTCTGCCACTACCTCGAAAAAGTGGTTACGCGCTCCAAGAAATTGAGCTGTGTTCACTTTAAAAAATAAGAAATTCCAAAAGTGACGATTTGTTGTGTTATACTAAGGTATGAGCTGCAAAAAAAGACTAATCGCAAAAAATATCTGGTCGGTACATTCGTGTGGCAGCCCCGAAAGTAATAAACTTCGTGTAGATAGAAATTTGTTATGTCGGAGCGAAATTCGCTGAAGTACTTGAAGTTCTCACCGAACACCATACATTATTTGAAAGCTTAGAAGTTGGACATCAAATCCTAGAAGGTTCTAGAAGCTTATAAATATAGTCAAGAGTAAAATAAAAGTAGCAAGCAGGAGGGCAGAAAAAATCCTTGACCTGAAGTAATTAAAATTAACCAAAATTGATCGTCCTGTACAAGACGATTTACTGCTCAGATTATCAAAATGCTTTTATTTGCACATAATACAACTCTCCCACCTTCAAGAAAACCATTTATGCAAAACTGGAAATTAAATATAAGCCAAAGTATCACGCTCCGCCTTAAAACGGATCAAATGCAATTAACATGATAGAGGTGAACAACGTTCCCAAATTTGCCAAATACAAGACCTATTGAACAATTTTAGTTCCTATCCTAGAAAAAATATTGTAATCGAAAAACTTCAGTCAAAAATTTGAACTTATTTCAACACATGTGGTCAAAAATCTCAAAAAAGGTGACCAAAAACAGTGGCGAAGCACTAGTTGTGAGCGCCCAACAAAAACGTCTCCAAATTTGGCGGAAGGGGTGTACGGACCATTGGAAGCAAAACTTAATTAGCTTTAACCTTTGTCCCTTTCTGACCAAAATTTCGCTTTAAAAAATTCATTCGTTGAGTTTATATGTGCATTTGACCAAAGTTGCATTACTTCCGGAACACCCTCTATATTTTTGCCGAGTACTCGTTTCTGCTCGTTTGCCGAGCACCGAGCAAAACTCGGCAATCGAATACCGAGCAAGGCTAGGCCACCGAGTAAATTGTTAAAAACATCATAAAAAAAATCATTGTTTACATAATATTTAATTACCAATACCTTTATTTTGAGAACTGGTGGACGGAATCACGTGAAGCTACTGATTCTTCTTCCTGTTCCAACAGTTCGATTAAAGTTGATTACCGGATAGAATTAACAAATTTCATGGATGCATTTTTCAAGTAAGTTTGATATTAATTGCAAAAATCACATGATGGATAATTCGAACTGCTCGGTGTAGGTACCGGGTAAAGTGGTACTGGATGCATATAAAAATTGAAGGAATACTCGGCCGAGCACGCAAAAATACTCGGCCAAGTCCGAGTAGTGAGAACACGGCCAAAACCTGCCGAGTACTCGGCAGCCCCGAGTACTCGGTGCATGTCTAGCTGGAATGATATGTGACATGTTAAAGAGGGAGTGCGAGATCTATAAAATTGTAATTTTTGCTTACATGTTTTATGATCGGCCCCTTACCAACAAGCCAGTAAAATTACAAGTTTTATCCATGAATTTTGTTATCTCGTTGTTTACTTTACATGGAATTTTTTTTTCCTTTTAATGTCATCGGACTCGTCTCGTTATATGGTACGAAAACCGGTTTATATTTAGATATCGACTAGATTGAAGCAGTTTCTTTCATTCTGAGATTAATAAATTTAAAGTGATGATAAATGATTTGAATCTCGGGCCGACTAATTTAGATTAATCAGCCGCAGTTCTTTGATGGTTGTAAGCTTGCATGAACCGTTGAAAGATTAAAAGATTTTAATAGCGTGGTGATGCCACTCCGTATTTTTAAATTGATATATGTATTTTTGGGTTTCTGTAGTGACCAGGTTTCAAAATTGGCTCTAAATAATATTACTTTAAATTGTAAAAAATAGATAATTACAAATTTATGAACAAACTTGATTATAGCGAATTTTTTTTTTAGAAAAGTATCAAAATGTATTTAAAAAAATTTCTCAAGATTCAAATCTACTTACAATGGAGGCGCAAACCATGTTCAGCCCAGATAATTTTTTTACCTTATTAGTTTGAAAGAGCAAGTCTATACAAGCAACATTTGGTTCGGCACTTGGGCAGATGCGCAAATTTCAGCACGTTATGGGCGCCGCAAGTTCGCAAAAACGCACGAAGTTGAGCTCGCGCTGGGCATTGCCCGAAAAATCGTGGGTTTTTGCGAACTTGCGGCGCCCATAACGTGCTGAAATTTGCGCATCTGCCCAAGTGCCGAACCAAAAGTTGTTTGTAAAGACATGCTCTTTCAAACTAATAAGGTCAAAAAATTATCTGGGCTGAACATGGTTTGTGCCTCCATTGTTAGTAATATTTTGCTAAACTATGTATACCAAAATTGTAATTAAAAATTTCGCCTGCAATTTTTATATGGTCTAAAGGTCAGTTTTTTATAATGTGATACATACATATATCGACGTTTCCATAAATAATTTGTGAAAGGCCCCTTAACTTGAAGCATCGTAAGGAAGGAAGTGCCATAAATCATAACTTTTTTAAGCAGGAGTGAGTGAGCTTGTCTTTAATGTGGTGAGGAACAAATTAGCAAGTATTTCACAATTGGCGTTAATTCCTCCAATTGATGCGGCGCCTGCTGGGATGTGTCTTCTGGAGCTGATTATGTGGCAAAATGCATACATAATCTGGTCATGGGATACGACTACGTGCCGAGGAAAGAACAGGGTTGCGTTACGCACAATTAAAGAAAAAAGAGTTAATAAACCTGGACAATTCATTGTAAATAATCTGGTAATAAATATTACCGAAAAGCACAAATATACGACTCTACCAAAGTGGTAATGATAACTTGTACGGTGTGGTAATGGCTTGATAATAAAGTTTACCCATCATGACAACGAATTTTTACTACCTGGTAAAATACATATTATTACCAAATTCATTACCGAGAAATCATTACCTGCGTGACTTTACCGAGCTATTAAGAGTGTATGCGTGTACTCTTCTCTGCAGAGATTTGAAATTTGACACGATTTTGTATCGGATAATATTACATATTTATGTAGGCATGTATATGTATTTCGAAAAGTAGGTTTAAATATTATCTCGAAAAAATATTTTTGTCAGGAAATTTGAAAAATGTCTCATGAAAAACCCGTAATTACTTGTATATGTTTATTATTATGAAGAATTTGGTCTAACTATAAAAAACCAACCATAGTTTCTTGATTTTCTTAGAATTGGACGTATGAATTTACGTAATAATGATGTAATATCAATTGCGGAACTATTTGACGAGTAAATTATGATCTCTGCCTGCAAAAAAACAAGTAATTTATGTCAGTACTTATTCAGATATTTATTTACAAACTGGCTAAAATATCGCACATTTTGCGAACCCTGGCAGAAAAGTTTGTCTTTTCTGTTATGTTGTGGCATTCGTACATATTTTTTAGTTACCTTGTGCACAACGGACTAATTGCAATCTGCTCTTCTTCCTTTCTAAGAAAAGGTGTTATTTTTAGAAGTGCATTTGCCAAAGTGAATTTAAATTCGGAAAATTATCATGCGTCGGACCGTGCAAAAGTGCGTGACCGATTTTCCGACTCACGTGACTTACATGTCCCATCTTAACACCCAAAACTTTATGAAAAGCTTGGCCTTTACTTGGCTAAAAAATTAATGACATCCTTTATGCAGGAAAATCTGCTACCAGCAAAACAAAATAGTTGCCAGTTCTAATTTGAGACTCAAATTTACAGCTTAAATTATAAGATCTGACAAACTGAGTTATGTACGCGTCCGGCTAAACGAGGATGAATTAATGAATAAAAAATGAGACAAATTGACCATCCCTGGCCAAGCTAAAGTGGATGTTTTCTTAACCAGCAGACCCAGTCCGGACCGAGTAGGTGGCTAGGAAGGGAGGAAGTTGTTGTGTCGTGCAAAATAAAAATTTATTTTATTGCACATTTTTGCAAGGTGCGTGTGAGTGTCGCCATCAAAGGGTGGATATGTATTTAAATAAGCCAAATCGCTGAAATATGCACATATTTTAGATTTAATAAATACGGGCAAAATTTTTTATATAATATTTACAAAAAAACATATATGTTCACATTTTCATTTTTTAATACGATGCTGTACATTTTTTTTTAATTTGCAATTTTTTGAAGGAAAAAAGTTACTTCTGGTATCGTTGAAATATTTGCCAAATATTTGTATGCACTTTTGCAAAAAGCATGTCAAAGACTTACGTAGGTTTCCAATAGTGAAAATATTAATTTAAAAACTTACATTTATCCGAAAACCTGGAAATATTTCGAGTGATAAAGTTGATAATAAATACATATCCGCCCCATGGTCATCATTAAATAATTGTTATTTGTTTTAACAAACGTGGTGTTACAGATTTGGCAAATATTGTGATTTTTTCGAGTAGTGATTATTGTGCCCCAGTTTTTTTGCGGAGATGAAGGATAAGGCGAACAACAATGCGGAAAAGGACGCCTTTTTTGAGGGGATCCTTGAAGGGGAAGGAGACGACGAGGAGTACCCCTTGTTCGTGGAGATGATGCATTTCAACTCGTTGGGTAGAGAGGAATGGCGAGAAGCTTCAAGGTATGTACATATGATTTTTTGCGAGTAGATGATTATATATGTACATATATGTAACTTTGCACTTTTTCTGCAAAATTTGGCCCACATTTATAATTTTCTAAGTAAAATCTGTCGCCCTACATTCTTGATAAATCATTGATACAGCTGTGCACGGAATTAGATAAATTTTATAAAATTGTGCAGGGCACACTTAAAACTAATGCACCCCCAATCTAAAAATATAACTACAGTCCCAATTCTAAATATTTTATTACCAAATCTTGATAGCTTACTCTGGATTTAGTGCAGTTGGCTTAATTTGGAGTTGATAGTGCATTAAATTTTCAAAACGCTAGAATTTTGTAGACATAGATTGAAATTCCTTGTATTTTTGTGGTAGTGTTGAACTGTAATGGAATTGACATTATTATTATTTCTACCTTAAACGTTAAATCTTTAATTGAAAGGTGGGTGAAATATGAAGAGAACGTGGAACAAGGTGGGAAACGATGGTCGAAGGTGAGAAACGGTTAAAACAATTACCCAATCTTAAAATTATTTTCGAAAAATTGCGAAATGTAATTTTACATAAGTATGTAAATATTTAGTACTTTTTGACGCTAAATATGTACATACGTAGCACATAACACTGAGATCAAAATGAATTTTTATGTTTAACAGCCATTCGTGCCGACCGTGAAGGCTCAAGCGATTCACGATTTGAGAAAGGGATTCGATTCGGGCGCGATAATTGTGGATCTCGACTTCGACACGGGGGACGGGGAGGGGAAGACTTTTCGCCAGCTGGTCGAACGTTGGGCGGCGCAGGGCTCGATTGAGGAGATGCACAGGGCCAAGATCCTCCAAACTTTGTTGCGACCTAAAGTCCATCACTACGAGGAGAGCGGGCTTTTTCAAAAAAGGAAGAAGCAAGAAGTCCATAAACCAAAACGTGTGTAAGCGTTTCGTTAAAAAATTTGTTACGCACGCTTAAAGATAATTTAAACTTTTTGAAAAATTCTCAATTTTATATTAAGTAAATATTTATAAGCTACATTCATAGTAAACTTATTTCTAACGTTACTCGAACTTTAATAAAAATAGTGTACTTAATTTTAAATCGAGTGTATATATTCTTTTAAAATTCGTAACATTATTTTTAAGTGTGTAATGTAAACTTTTCTAATAGTGCCCCAGTAGTGGAAAAAATGATGAAAATTTTTAAGGATAAGGTTTCCAGATATTTTTCAAGAGGTTGAATTTTCTCTGGTTCCTGCAAAATCTGCAATTTTTGCCCGATTTGGGTTACATAAATAGTGTTTAAAACTTTATTTGAAGCGATGCACCACCAAGCAAAATAAAATCAATGCTTCGTAATTTATTCATTTTTGCAAATTTTTGTAGTGGAGCCGCACATGCTTCAACATCGGAGAACCAGCCTTTCCTCAGTCGTTTATCATCACCATTTGCCAAAAAAGGATGACGAAGAGGTATTTATAAATATTTTAGATGCCAATTTAAAGAAATGATTAACGGAAATATCCCAATTTCTAGAAAAACTTGCAATTCATGCGAAAAATTGCGTCCAACGCGGAATGTGTCAACGTGATGGTGGGACAACTGTATTTTTTGCAAGTTCCAATCGCCGCCTTTTTGCGATTAGGGGAAGCCGTCGTGCTCGGGAATTTGACCGAAGTCCCGCTGCCGACGAGATTCTTGTTCGTCCTACTGGCCCCGGTGGTAAGTAAACGAAACAGAGATTTTTTTTGCAAAAATAATTTGCAAACTTTGCGAATTTTTTCTCATGCAGGAAATGGATTTCTACGAGATTGGCAGAGCCGTCGGGACCATGTTTACGGATCCCAGGTTCCGATCCGCCGCGTACAAAGCGGACAAACCCGGACAGATTTTGCAAGCGTTGGAAGCATTTCAAAAATCGACATCACTTTTGCCACCGGCCTCGTGGGATGCGTCTATCAGGCTGGAACCGCAGGCTAAAGTGGGTAGCATAGTTTTTTCAGAGTGTGAGATAGATTTGCAAATTTGCAAATTATTTTCAGGACGGAAGTGGCGACGAAGATTCGGATGAGGAGGACAACCCAGAAGATACAGGGCTGGTTCGGAGTGGGAAATTATTTGGCGGATTGTACAACGATGTTAAGAGGAAGTTACCTTGGTGAGGGACCATTTGACGATTTTGCTAATTTCATATGTACATACAAATATACTTGAAATGAAAAGCCGTTAATATATGAAAAATTCTAAAGTTTTTGCGCATTCTTGATTGCAAAGCGTAAGGTTTCGTATCTAAGAGTGGCCAAATATTTGCAAAATTTGTATTTGCTTAAATTGCTGAGCCAAGCATTTCCAACAATTTGGTACACCCGCTTGCAAACTTTTATAGTCACGGCATGAAAAGTATAAAAAAATCACATGTGTGTGTAATGTGGATAAAATTATTTAGAAACCAATTTGCGAATAATTTTTTGCAAAAGTTAATCTAAAAAGAGGTCGATAGCTTAATTTAAAAAAAAACGTAATTTCCTGCTTCAGATTTTTAAGCTGACTTATCTGATCATTATTTTGGCTACCTCTGTATTATCAGATAATTCGTTTGACGATGACGCGAAAATTAGTTTTTTTGGAAATAAATTAGGATATACGTAGAATTATTGATAAGTATCTTATTGGATGCCTCATTCCAGGTATAAATCTGACATAACGGATGCCTTATCACTGCAATGTCTGGCGACCTGGTTGTTCCTCTATTTTGCCTGTCTCACCCCGATCATCACGTTTGGCGGGCTTATGGGCCTAGCCACGCACAATTACATGGGGACAATTGAAACTATGATGGCGGGAGCGTTATGTGGCGTCGGATTTGCACTATTTTCCGGTCAACCCTTGCTCATTTTGGGGTCGACGGGACCCGTGCTCGTGTTTGAAACAATTTTGGTCCACTTTTCTGAGTAAGTGAATGGATTAATGCACTCTTAGAAATCCGGTATTAAAATTGTACCAAGCAGTATTAATTTATGACTGTATCAAAGTTGTATTGACAAGTAATACGGCATTAATAGTTCGGTATTAAACTTTTACCTTATATTAGTAGCAAATTTTGAATCACCGGCAAAAATTTGAATACCACGTGGTAGCAGCTTAAATCCTGAGAAATCAATATCTAGATAAGTGAATATTTCAGATTGCGATGGTTCGTATTTTATAATTAGACTCAATTCTGCATGGGAAAGACATATCAAAAATAGTATACTTTTAAATCACAGTCCATAACAGTGTGAACATGTATTTAGGCAATTTATTCAAATTTATTAAGATCTAACGGGCTGGATTATCTCGAGTTTCGGTTATGGGTGGGCGTCTGGATAGCCGCGATTTTGGTCGTGCTCGTCGCCTTGGATGCAAGTTCGCTCGTTTCGTACATCACGAGATTTACCGAGGATGACTTTGCCACCTTGATCGCGGTCATTTTCATGGTCGAGGTAATTTGAAAGTATAAAATTGATAATTGAAAATATTTAAAATTTCAATTTTTTTCGGTGACAGGCCGTAAAAAATGTGATGCTGATTAGAAACATTGACCATGATATCGGATCGTTCGGAAATTATACGGATTCCAATGGAGAGGACCTGGACAATAATATCACGGAGGGTGCAGTACCTTGGAATTGGGAATTTGCTGTGGATAATGTGAATAATTTTTTTGTTAATTTTGATTGAAATTTTAAAAATCTGGACTTAGAATTTTTCACGCAAGGCAAAAATAGCATTGTTCCTTTAAGATGGAATGGCTCCAGCATAGAATTGAAATCTCATTCTACCTTTATTCAGTGTATTTAAATGCAAATTCTTCAGATGGAATAAGTTTTATGAGTTTTAGGATAAATATTTTTATACGAAGTAAATTTTTGGTGTTACAAAACTATAATTTTTTTATAGAAATTAGCGAATTAAGTAATTTTGTAGGTAATTTTTGGGCACATGAAGTGCAAATTATTTTAAGTCAATAGTTTTGTGGTATTAAAAATTCCATAAAAACATTATTAAAGGCTGAATTTACCTCCAAAGTCATGAAACTTATGCATTTCAAAAATCTTGCACTTCAATGATATTGAACAGGGGTGGAGTGAGACTAAAAATCTATGACAGATCAAGTCGTCACTAAATGCAACCTTAAGTTTCGAAGTCTTTTGCGACTTGAAAAATGCCAGATTTTACCCAAACTAAAATCAATTTGGTCCACAGGATTATGCAAATTCGACAACCGAACCACACCCCTTGATCACCTCGCTGCAAGCCCAGACCAACCAAACGGTCTTCTTAATGTCTCTCCTCCTCTTTTTTGGCACATTCTTCGTCTCTTTTATGCTAAAAGAATTTCGCGTCTCACCCTTCTTCCCGACCGCGTTTCGCTACATTGTGTCCGATTTTTCGGTCGTTTTGGCAATCGGGGCGTGCACTCTGGTCGACTTCCTGGTTGGGATTCAAACCCCGAAATTAGTCGTTCCTGACAAGTTTGCGCCCACGTCGGACGAACGAGGCTGGGTGATCAGCCCGTTCGGGAAAAATCCATTTTGGAGCATTTTCGCCGCCATTTTGCCCGCATTGTTGGCAACGATTTTGATTTTTATGGATCAGCAAATCACTGCAGTTATTGTGAACAGGAAGGATCACAAGTTGAGGGTAAGTGGTGACGTTTTCAATAGAAATATGTATACTCTCTTAAAAATAATGCTACCCTTTATGTAAATACAACCTTAAATCTATATTAAGCAGACTATTCTGAATCCACAGTAAATTTTACTCTCTATCAAGTTGACATTTGTGAGGATACATAATTTGCTTAATTTAAAATCGAGACTACAATTACTTTTGAATGAGTTACATTATTTTTATGAGTGATAACTGAATTTCTCTGACATCTTTTAATCATTGAAGTTAGAATTTGAGAATATGCAGATTCGTATATACGAGTACATGATTTTTTGATATAAATATAAAGGTGTAAACTTCAGCAAATTTTAGCTATTTCAACTTATCAGCAAATTTGCCAATGGGTAGACTCATGTTTCGGAAGGGTGTGATACACTCTTAAAAATAATGTTACCATTTTCGAAGTAAATCCACTCTAAATTCTAAACAAGTATTTACATATTTATACTAATCATAGAGTAACGGTAACTTAATATTAAAAAGTAAATTTTACTCTGAATTTTGTACAGTTTACTTAATTATGAACTCAGTTTTCGTTTTTACTCTTTAAAAGAGAAACCTTACTTACAATGGAGGCGCAAACCACGTTCAGCCCAGATAATTTTTTGACCTTACATATTAGTTTGAAAGAGCAAGTCTATACAAGCAACATTTGGTTCGGCACTTGGGCAGATGCGCAAATTTCAGCACGTTATGGGCGCCGCAAGTTCGCAAAAACGCACAAAGTTGAGCTCGCGCTGGGCATTGCCCGAAAAATCGTGCGTTTTTGCGAACTTGCGGCGCCCATAGCGTGCTGAAATTTGCGCATCTGCCCAAGTGCCGAACCAAATGTTGTTTGTATAGACTTGCTCTTTCAAACTAAGAAGGTCAAAAAATTATCTGGGCTGAACATGGTTTGCGCCTCCATTGTTAGCTTTAAGAGTGCACGTGAAACTTGTTTGTGTGAATATGCCCAATGTAACGGCGAAAACCAAGAAGTCAGTCTTTTCGAGTTTCACATGTGTCAAAATTTGTTTCAGGTTACATGTGTTTCTTAAAACTTTTTCAGAAAGGGTGTGGCTACCATCTCGACCTGTTCCTTTTGGCTGGATTAATTTGCATCAACTCGTTCCTTGGGCTACCCTGGTTTTGCGCGGCCACCGTGGAAAGCCTCACGAATGTAAATTCCCTAAAAATGGAATCCGAATCTGCCGCGCCAGGGGAGAAACCGCGCTTTTTAGGTGTTCGTGAGCAGCGAGTTTCGAACGTTTTGGTCTTCCTCTCAGTTGGACTATCTGTCCTTTTAACACCAATTTTGAAATTTGTGCCGATGCCGGTTCTCTACGGGGTGTTTCTATACATGGGATTCTCCGCTCTGATGAGGATGGAACTTTTCGAGAGGATCCTGCTTTTCGCAATGCCACTAAAATACCAACCGGATCACGGGTAAGGAATTTTTTAAGAAACGCTTTAAACTTAAAAGTTACAAATTTGCAAATTTACCTAATACACTCTTAAAACTAATGTTACCCCTGTGAAAATAAATGCACTGTGAAGTAGGTAAAATAAGTAAATAGAATATTACGTAAAATGTACTAAATCCTACGTAAATTTACTAAAGTAAATATAGTGCATTTACTTACTTCCATAAAAGTAATACTATTCATAATTTAAGAAATGATAACATTATTTTTAATTATGTATGATAATAGTTTTTGTACATATTATTATTTTTTGGCGTACTTAAACTTAAGAATTATGTACGTGCAGATATTTGAGAAACGTCCCCTTGGCGAGGGTCCACCTATTCACACTGATTCAACTCCTTTGTCTGATTCTGCTGTGGGTAATCAAATCTATGAAAGCAACAGCAATACTGTTTCCCTTAATGGTAAGAACAAAATTCTAATGTGTAAAACGCATGTTGACCATCATGTATATGTTCATGTATGTATAAATAACACTCTTAAAAACAGTGTGGGTATTCACGTCATTTAAAAAGGTCGTTTCGCAACACATCTTCGCAACTTTGCGAAATCGATGTCCTGAACGCCCAAAATACATATTACCTGAACAACTTTAAACATAACTCATTTCACCGAGTTAGTTTAAGGTTGTCTGGGCACATTTCTGAAAATTTTAATTAAAATTTCTTGGACGACGAGATATTTTACGACGATAATATGTAGATGCCCTTTTGCTTTGTATGTTTCGCAAAAAAAATAAAGCAATCTGATTCGTTGTCGCATCGCAAATCTTCGCAAAAATCGCAAAGTTGCGAAGCGAGGTTTACGGCTTTTAAGAAATTGACGTGAATACCCACAGTGTTATTTTAAACAAAAAACTACATTCTGAGTTTCTTTAAGTTACTCACTCGTTCAAATACTTTTTCTGGAATTATTGCGTACAGAATATTTACTAATCTTTGCTAATCCAAGTTTTATCTATTTCTCGTTTTCAGTTGGTAGTGATGATGGTCGTTCGCAAGCTGCTGGATTACATTTTCACTCAAAAAGAACTCCAAGCTTTGGACGATTTGCTGCCGGATTCGAAACGTAAAAAAACCAAGAAAACAGTACCCCCGCCAAAAAAGCTGGCTAGCACGGCCCCGCCAAGAAGTCCGGCGGTGACGAAAATGGAGAATGAGAAAGAACCCGAAGAGAAAATACGGTAAGGGATGGACCCTAATTTAAATATTTGATTGAGTTTCGTACATACAAGTTGTATGTACCCATTAAGTCACCTGATTATGACGCGATGAATTAAGTATGATGGAAACTCCATGTTTTACACATATCGTCGTGCTAATTATACAAACGCCTAATCCTAAGTGCAGTCAATGCTTAATTTTATAAAGGCCTGTCTGCAGTAAATGCTTAATTTTATAAAGGCCTGTCTGCAGTCAATGCTTAAATTTATAAAGGCCTGTCTGCAGTCAATGCTTAATTTTATAAAGGCCTGTCTGCAGTCAATGCTTAATTTTATAAAGGCCTGTCTGCAGTCAATGCTTAAATTTATAAAGGCCTGTCTGCAGTCAATGCTTAATTTTATAAAGGCCTGTCTGCAGTAAATGCTTAATTTTATAAAGGCCTACGTGCACTATAAAAAGTATAAAAAGGCCGAACTGCAGTAAATTCTACCAAAATTGTAATTCGCAGAACGTACAGTTTTGACACGCCTGTGGAAGAAGAGGAGGAAGACGCCGTCCCTGTTGGGACGACTGACCGTGACTTGGACATCATTGAAGAATCAGAGTAACATGAGAATGCTCAAAAAAGCTTACTTTTAATGATATGTACTAACGTTGTTAAATATTTGAATAAGAATTTAGAACCTAAGGATGAATTGTAAATAAAGTTAAATAAAAATGTCGCCGAGAGGGCGAGTTAGTATACCGAAAATATTTAGGCATCATGTACTAAGATTTAACCGTAATTTTGCAGTGTTAATCAAATTTATTTAAATTAAATTCCGGAGGCAACTGTGCAACTTTTTCACTCGCTAAATTGGTCAAAGTCTACCTCTGTTTCATCGACCTAATCATGTAAATTGTAGTTTGAGCAGGCTTAAAAAATTGGTAGTTAAATATCTACATATCTGTAGACTTATTCGGGATAACGTTGCATGTAAAAAATAGTGGTTATGTACCAATAGTAAAGGGTGAAAGCCCTTTATAAGATCGTTATGTCCGTCCGTCTATCTGTCCGTAGCTCAGATAGCTTTTGAACCAAAGGACATATAAAACTTGAAACTTTGAAAAACATCATAGGACAGGATGAAATCGAAGATGGACACTGTAGGTCGCACCCGTCAAGGTCAAAATATCTTGAAATCTCATTTAAAGGTAAAATTGCATACATGTATCAATTTGAACTGAAATGTAACCCCGAATTTAGTGGTGACGTCCAATTTGACCTCAAAGGTCACAACATGGTCATCAATAGTTAAATCTTATAAATTGTTCAGAATTGTTGAAAACACGTTAGGCATGCAAATTTTAACAGATTTTGAACGGACAAACACAATAATAATATGGTGTTCAGGTCGACGGATAACACACTCCTTTTACCCCTTGGTTACATTCGTTGTAACGGTTTATTTACGTACGATTTTACAAAAATATGCAAAAATCGAGTTTTGACGTTTTGACGAAAAATTTTAAACTATACCAAACCTACATAATTGGCAAAACAAACAGATTGGGGAATTTCTCAGGTTCTTTCCGCACTCCGAACTTAGTCACAGAGGAGGACGTAATTGTGACACAGTTTTCATGCACGATCCCCCCACCAAGTTTGGAATTGCCGTGATACGGTAATACCGGCATCGTGTAAGATAGATCCATCTATTTAAAAATTTAACTAATATAATTTCGATTTTTTCTGGATAACATTCTTAGAAAATCGGTCATATTTTACCATATTTTTCATCATTGATTAAATTCTTGAAACTCACGTACATACCTTTCTTGGATTACCCTTGCCATTCTTTATATTTAAATGAAACCAGTGTTTCTCCGCGGTTTTGTCATTTCCAAGCAGTGTTGCCCAAAAGTGCACCGAATTCGCCTCCTTATAGAAATGCAATAGTAATGTCTGGCCGTGTTTCTTTAGGATTCCGAGGGTGCCGCAATGTCCAGGATCTTGAATACACAAGTTAATTTTGTAAATATCATACACTCAAAATAAAAATTTGTCAAATCAACACCCCCGGTGTCAATATATGACCTAACCGCTTTGGTTATAATTGTGATTCTTGAATAAATTTTACACAGCCTTGAATAACTTTTTTTTTGGTAAAAAATTGTACACAAGCAGTTGTGTCACCACAAATTTCACTCAACTTTAACAGGTATGAATTTCCCAATTTCAAAGGAGCGTTCTTACTTGCAAAAATGTCCCCATTTAATAAAAAAGGAAAGTCGCAAACCATATTCGTCCCGTCAACACTTTCCAGGATTCCATGAACAGTTTTTAAATGCACATGGAAATTTTTGAAAGGGATTCGAATCTTATCGCATTTTTGTTTCGTTGTATCTTCGCATATTACATCCCTAGAAAGAGTTAAATCAGGCTGTACAATTACACACTTTTACAATTAGATAAGTGGTCTTAACTAATTACTGGCTGGCAGCCAGTAATTAGTTAAGACTACTTATACTTTTACTTATACTTATACTTTTAACTTTAAATTGTTGCTTCCATAAAAATACTGGTTCAATCGTTAATCATGGCGAACAGTAATCTAGCTGAACTGAAAGATTTGATATCTATTTTGGTCGGCATCTTTTTTGAGGCCGAATAATTTGACAAGTCTTGCGACTTGGTAAAGGCCAATGGCGTAGTTTGTGCAGCAAACCTGCCGTAATATCGCTGTGTCAATAATTCAACATAACAAAATAAAAATCACATTAATCTTAATCAAGAATTAATCAGGAATAATTAATCTGTAATCCTTAAAAATTGAATTATTTAATTAATCCTGGATTAATCTAAGCCCGGAATAACATTAATCCTTAATCCTTAATCCCCCCAAAAAATTCAATAATCACGGATCTCTGCTGGCTGCATATGTGTATCAGAGGTCGACGCCGATGGTAACATCGGCGGCGGCGGCTTAAATTTTACTAAGGGTCGGCGGCGGCGGCGCGCCGCGCCGCGCCGGTTTTTTGCCGGCGGCGGCGCCAAATGTTAAATAATTTTTTGTGAGCTTTTAAAGAGCTATTTTGTACATTTTCGGTCGCAAAAAAACGTGGTCGGGTAAAAAAAAAGATGTACGCAATCTTTTATCATTTATGTCTTTCCACATGTCATAGTTTTAAACCCTTATACCGTAAAACCTCTATTTATAGCCCTATTCTAATTATAGCCGGTGTCCAAATATAGCCGGGTCTGGCTATATAGACCAAGATTTCAAAATTTTAGCCGGGTCTCTATTTATAGCCGGGTCCCTAATTATGACCGGGTCTCTAATTATAGCCTGTATTTTTCGCTGTGTCCCCGTTCATACCCGATCCTACAAAAATACTGAACATCCGGTTAATCAACGAATAAGGTCGAAATTTGCAGAATAATGTGTTAGGATCTTAATAAGAATGCATGCATATAATCACGACAGCAAGTTTTTAAAAACTACAAAACCTCGTTTAAAGAAGTAGATTTAAAGCGAATATTTAGCTGATTTCAACATTAATTATTCGCTAATTTTGTAATGACTTAAATTAGGGCGGACCAAATTTTAGCCGGGTCTCTAATTGTAGCCGGGTCCGTGACACCCAGTTTTGGATTTTAGCCCCGGCTATAAATAGAGTATTTACGGTATGTATATAAAAGCGTTATGTCTCCCGGTCTGTTTCTGTGCACGTGGGTAGATGTAGGATAAGGGACCACTCATAACGTCAAAGATAAAAAATGGAAAGCACTTTTTAAGTTAAAATTATAACATCTCCGATTTTGACAAAAGCATTTTCATTTTTTAACGTCTAATCTTTCACCAATTTTTATAACGCTGCAAGTTCGTTTTGATTATGTGTAGTATTACTTCAAAACAATGCTCAGAATTATTATTCGGGGGTTTTAAAACACTTCCGCGTTTTTCAATCTTTGTAATTTAAATTTAGCATTTTGAAGATTAAGATATCAATTCTTTAATTAGAAAAGATTTCCACCCAAAAATTTTGGAAATTTTAATATATTTACATACATAGTAAACTTTGAAAATTTCTGGAAAGTAATTTCGGGTACAATTTCCCTCTTTCGTGATAAAAAAATCTTTATAATGGCTTTTTGAAGATATTATAAAGACGCGAAATTAAGGTTACGCCAAAATTAGTAACTTATCTTCAAAAACGCAAATTAATTGAAAATTCAACTGGTAAAAATCTTGGAAAATTTGTCCCATTTTTCATAAATATTTATTCCAATGTTATTCTAATACTTTGTATTTGTCATAAATAAGAGATCATCAAATGAAAACTCTTTGGTTTGGGACTGAAAATATTGTTAAAGGATGACTTTTGTAATTATAATTAGACCAAAATCTAGTATTCAAGCCAAAATAAAATCGGCGCCAATTTTTTTCTGCGGCGGCGTCGGCGCGCCGTGAATTTTTTTCGGCGGCGGCGGCGCGCCAAGAATTTTAATACTGATGCAAAAATAAAACTACATACTTCGAGGTATGTATGTATATAGTAGTTAATTTCTCGTGAACACAAAATGTATCTCGGGGTATGGAAAATGCAGGGTTTTTGGTGTCAAACTGAATCATTCTCAATCTCCTTTTTAAGTAAATTTTCGACAAGAACAACTTACTTATTTAATTTTAATTAGTAGCTAATTTGTAGTATTGTCACACATATTATCGTACTTTATTAAACTTAAAAACCCCAACTTCCCGTGGGTAATACCCACCTTTTTTAAAAAAAACTTTAACTCATCCTAACCCGCAGTTTAGCATGTTGCTTAAGATAATTGAATATGGCACACAATGAAACTAAAATATGATATAATAAATTGAGCGTGAGAGTAATTTTGTACATTCCAAAGGCAAAATCAAATTCTTAAAATATGTATGATATCTGACACTTTCAAATCTTACAAAACTGAGGTGGATTCTAACCACAATTTTTAAATTTATTACTACGCGGTTGAGCTTTTATTCATTGTTGTATAAATTGTATTCGCAGAGATGCATGTGTACATTATTACATTTTAAAAAAGTCTAAACGACCAGCGCCTTACAAATTTGTCCCTATCTGAAATTTAAAGAAACACTTAACCTATTTCGTCATATTAGAGTAAAAATATCTCTTCCAGCTCTCGTCCGGCTGGAAGAGACCCTAAAATTGTAGCCGCATTTCCACGTTGCACAGATATGCTCATCCTTTGTAGGAGAAACGATGTTGCCCTCTTCTCTCCCGTGAGGATCGTGATCCTTGATCCGATTTCCTTGATAAGGGACAGACCCTCCTTTCCCCACACTCCCATTGTTTCGATGGCTACGGGTACAAAGAGGAATCTGTCCTGGAGGAAATCGTATTTTTTTCTTTTTGGCGTCCTCCGCCTTTTCGGCTGCCGCACCAGGATGAACGCAAGTTTGAGGGAGGTAAGACGGTGCGAAGGTGTCCGAACAAGTGAAGTCCCATACTAGGGCTCTCCCTCTCGCCCATGGGATTAATGTTAGGGCGTCAGGGCGCTTCTCGTCTTGTCGAGAGCAACCTGGTGGCTCTTTGATAGCTGGGGCTCCGGCAGATCGGAGCGCTCTCCAAATGACGTCATTGGCAGCGGTGTGTCGCGAATAACGACCTGCGCTCCTTTTGCATTTTAAGCCATGATAGCCTTTTGATGTGACCTCCGCTCCACACGGACATTTGTGAGGGTGGCACACGTCGCAGCCAAGACGAAGGGCGCAAGCAACTCGGACCGTCTCGTTGGGGAGTAAAGTCCCACGTTGTGGTGAAGGGACAGCGTTGAGCCATGCCCCCACGTTCGGGAACCCCATGGCAAGGAGACGAGCCTTCTCTTCTGGGGTAGTTGCTCCACTTCTGAGGTGGTTAACGGCGGCCTCCTGTTGAGGCATTTCCCATGCGGCTTGAGCGCCTCTAACTTCGAGTGGGGGCAGTTCAGCAGGACCCATGGGATTCCACCTTTCCTCTCCTTGTCTAGCCACATCGGTGTCTTGTAAGTAAGGCGGCAGAAGGAGTTCAACGAGGGGCAAGGCGCTGTAGGCGGACGCGAGGAAACACGGAATCGCCACGTCTACAGCATGCCTTACTCCCAGACCACCTTCACTGACCGGTAGGGAGGACTGGAGCCAAGATTGGGGAGAGAGGGTGCAGTTAAGGATTCCCTCCATTACACTCTTAAGTTCGTCGAATCTTCTCCAAGTGGGGGCACATCGAAGGAAATAGATAAGACGCGGGGTCGATATGGAGGCCCGAAAGAGAAAGAAAGCAGAATGGGAGGAGAGCTCGAGGAGTCGGGCGCCAAGTTTGGCGAGTTGGTCCGATTTTGCCCCTAACACCGCCTCGATAGATTCGTCGGTAAGAGGGGCACCTAGCAGAACAGCAGTTTCCGGAGAAATCTCCTGGATCCCCGGTGCGGCCTTCCGAAAACGCTCCAAAATTTCAAGATGGGCATGTTCGTCCGCCGCAAGCACGCCCACTTCACACTTGGCGGTGTTGAGCCGAAGGCCAACCTCCTCCCCCATGCGGATAATGGTATCAAGAGCAATCAGCACTTTTTCTGGGGTGTCCGCTAAAGTTGCATCGTCCAGATACCACAAGTTGAGCTCCGTCTCGATGGCGAGGATAATGGGCTGGACGACAAGGGCGAAGAGGGCGGGGCCTACCGGGTCCCCTTGTTGGCAACCACGGCGGGAGGAGATATGTGTCCCCATAAAATAGTTGAGACGGGGACGAATAGGCCTGCGACAAAAAACTGAACATTGAGGGGAACCTTTCATGAATTATTTTAAGGACTGTATCCCGCCGTATCTCGTTAAATGCGTTATTGAAATCCACTTTCAGAAAGGCTTTGGATGTCGTATGGGCGAATCCCCAGTAGATGCGGGCCGCATGTGCCGCTGCTTCGGCACCCCCCCGAACCCCCACCCCAGTTGATGGGGAGCTAGGTACTCCACAAGGTCGGACGACATCCTTTTCAGCGCGATTTTGGCGGAAAGGCGGCGCCACACATTTCCAACCGCCACGGGCCGAATCCCGCCAGTTTTCTTCTTTAGGGCGGTCAGGGAGGCTCCATAAAAAATGGGACAAAACTGGGCCGGCACACCTCCACTGAGAACAAAATTTGTAAAATTTAGTATAGCCTCAATTAATTTATCTCCCACTTCGCCCTGCTCCGTCGCGACCAGATCTTTTAGAATTTGCGGGCGAAGGGAATCAAGGCCTCCCGCTGACCCCGGCGGAAAACTTGAGATAGCAGTAATGATTTCTATCGGCTCGACCGCTGGTGGTTCCGGTGAGGTAGTTGGTGGTCCTGGATATTCCGTCGGTTCGGGGTGTGGCGGATGTTTGGCGATGAGTGCATCAATGGTCTCCTGGGTCCTGGGGGCTATCGAGTCGTCAGAACAAGCAAGGCGAATTGCCCCCCGGACATCTCCATCCGCCAGCTTTGCCTCCACTTTCTTGGCCACACTTTCCATTTCTCGAGGGGCTTTGGCGGGAGGGCGTGCGAGCCGTGGCGGTGGGGCTGCCTGGTCCAATAATCACCGGGCGACTTGTGACTTGAACCACGTTGTCAAGTTCTTCACCTTGTCCGTCTTCTGGGGCACGGCAAGGCTCGCGTATGGAAAAAGAAATAGCCTGCCCCATGAGTCTTCGGTTTTGGTGGTGGTGACCTCCTCTAAGATTTTTGTAAGGGCACGAGCAACCTCCATTCTTGCCCCCTTCGGTACCCGACGCAGTGTAGGTATGGTCATCTTAAGACGAGCAAGAATTTCGCTCCAATCTGTTTGTGTTGATTCACCCGACGGCGGTGAGTCTATCCATCGCATCCCATCGAAAAATGTGTGGGCGTCTGCTCCAGTTGTTCGACGACTAACAACGTCGGGCAGCAACTCCTTGATATATTTGCCGAGGGTGGTCTCGGCGACTCCACCCTCTCCCGATTGATCAATAAAAATTGCGTAGCGAGCGAAAACATCTGCCTTCCTTATTCGTGAGTTCCGCTCTGGGACTAGGGAGTTTAGAATCCACCGGCGAGCCGCGGCGAATGTGTCCTTCTTTGTTACGCCAGGAGATGAAGGCGACACTGATGATCGGCGGCGAGTTGGGACAGAGAGGGTTGACGTATCCAACGTAGCAGAACTGTCGTTGACATGAATTGTAGGAAATATTTCGCTCGGAGAAATTTCATCCTCGCCATGACCGATTGCAGAGAGGAGGGATTTTCGGGGTCGCCCTCTTGGTCGCGATGGCGCTGAAGATGGTGGTTGGGATTCGTTGTCAGGAGGGTCACCCGAAATCCCGTCACGTGACGACATGGTGACCTGTAGTGGGCCCTGAGTGCGAAGAGAGACCAATCGGACTCACACAGGGATAGAAAAATATATTAATGTATTTGTATCTTTTTTTAAAACATTTTTTCCCAAACAGAAGAGCGGAAGGAAATCTTTCTCGCCTGAGATAGGCACGTTAAGTGCGCGAGAATGGCCAACCCCGCAGGTAACGGTCACTCAGAACTCCGCGCCGTGCCCTGGGGGTGCAGACCCTCAGGACCCTCCTTCACTAACAAAGTAGTGGGTATCCTCCGTTGTAAAGGTAAATTATTAGTGGTATCGGTAGTGAGGAAAGTCCACTCATAGGGGGTAGAAGTCCAGTAAAAGAGTACGGAATTCGGTAAGGCCTAGAAGGTCACGAAGGCGAGTAAAAATTCCCAAATTTTCACGATCACTACTTCACAAGGATGAATGGGGAAGTGGTGACCTGCTTTTTAAAAGTGGGGGTGGTTAACAGCCTTAAAAACTTTAACACAATAAAAATATTCCATGAGAGGAGAGGAAAGGGACGTGTTCATCCTAAATACATAAGTACATATCCATATCCAGTATTACCACAATTTTTTCAGTTGTGCATATGTACTAGGTATGTATGTATAATTGGGCCCTTTGTCATGCCCTATTATACCTGTAATGAATTAATTAACCTAATTGAATAAGCTAATTAACTATTAAGATAAGTACCTTGTTCGGCTTGGAATTATTTTATTTCATGCATATATCTACCGCAGGGTTAAAATTGGTTACATTTACATATTTTCTCATCCTGGACCCTGTAAAAGTCTTTGTTCTACACAAATTCCAGCGGCATGAAATATGTACCTGAGTAAAACCTTATTGGGGTACATTACATATGTACCCCAATAAGGTTTTACCGCACAAAGATTAAAGACGCAGTAAAATGTACACGAGTTTTGTACTTGATACCAGTTTAAGCCGTATCTTGTTAATACGGGAATGGTAAATTGATTCGCTCTTACAATTAGTTCATATACACGGAGTAAATGATAACCCTGACCAGTGCAGATGTATGTAAATATATAAATATGTGTGAATCGCACTATGTGATAGCTCGGATGCGTGGAATTGTTTGCAGATTGAGTTGTCCAGGAGGGGAGAACGTATGATTTGTAATGCTTATCACGAAAGCATATACACAAGGTGAACTGTGAGAGATGATTACCTCATTTTTTGGCAGAGTGCACTCTCAAAAATGATGTTTCCCTTTTGAGAAGTACATCAATTCTCTACGTAAATTTTATATTCCGCAAAGTATCCAAAATCTAGAGTAACGGTGACTTGATAAAGAGTAAAGGATCCTCTGGATTTAGTATTATAAACTTAATATAGAATTTACTTTACGAAAGGGTAACTTTATTTTCAAGAGTGCAACCTTTCATTTATTGCTGTTTAGTGATAAGCAGTTATCAAGGGCAACGGTCATTTTATATTCACTTGTACATATAAATGTGATCATACGCGCCGTGCATAAAGCATGTGGACAAAATTGCATTAAACAATTTTCTATCTTCAATCACGTGGTTTGGGTGATCTTGACGAGAATAAAATCTGTGGGCCCGTTTTTTATGCATGATCCCCTAGATATACTTTTCTTATGGCATGTTGTTTATAAGATTGTGGTATGATTTGAAAATTTGCAATTTTCGATTTGCTCAAATATGGGGAACTTTAAAAAAGTCGAACTTTTTCACTGCGTGTAGAACGAAAATTTATTGGTCTGGAATGTCGGGTAAATTGTCCATGAGGAAAATAATTATTGTCAAGCTTATCAAACTCACAAGATAACAAACTCTGCATAACAATCGTCACTTTTAACACCGCACTCGCCAGTCGGGTTACGTCGCAATTGCGGACTCGGTTTAAACACAATTTTATAAAGGAGAAAAATTTTGCCTTATTTTGTTGCCTAAAATTAGTGCCCATCAAAATGAAGGAGATTAGTAAAGTCGTCATTGCCAAAATTGTGTGCCTGGTAAATATATAAATTTATCAATGAGACAATTCACGCAGTTTTTGGTAACTTTGTAAAATTACGTAACTTTTACAGAATTTTACAATTATTTCTAACGAATTTTTTTAAATTTACAAACTCATCCTATATAGGATCACAGATTGTCATTTTATTCTGTAAAACTTATTGTACATAGGTACATAGGTAAATTATGTATTTTACTAAATTCACGGATTTTACAAAGTTGCTAAGGTCTACGTGAATTGCGTCATAGATATTTGCATAATTTCACGTATAAAATAAATTTAGCACGTGACAACCTTGTTTCTTTTTAGGTCGTCCTCTTCATCGCAACCGTGGTGGGGTGCCACGCCCACTTTAACAACATTTTTAAAGATTGGTGGGACGTAAAGGGGGTTCCTGAGGCGTGTAAAGCGGTTAAAGCCTGTCCCAGCAATGCCATGGCGATGGAACGGACCTTCGTCGCATTCACGATTATTTTCGTAATTTTATCCGTCATCAGCATTGTGGCCAGTTTTGTGATTGATGCGGGAAAATTGAGGCTCCCGGTAAGCCTAAAAAACATCCTAGTTAAATTTAATTAGTTTACACAGATTTGGACAACATAAATTTTTAATTTGAAACAATGATGAGAAGAGGTTCTGTTTTAAAATTCGTGGTGGAGTTTTCGAGCTAAATTACAACCTTCTAAAAATGACATTTTTTCGCATTGTGGAATAAAATCCATAAAAAAGATATATTTGTATCCATAAAAATTTATATTTCTTCTGATTAAAAAAGGATTAAATAAATCACCCACTTAAAATTATAGATTTTGCCTCCTAAAATTTGTCAATGAGTTCTCATTAATACATAAATAGGTCCCTCCAGATTATTTATTTTTTACCCCTTAAATATCAAAATAATTCTCTTAATCAAGTGATCCGACAATTACTTGAATGAAGTATATGTAATTGTGTGCATATGTTTAACACTAGTTAGAGGTTAATCCATCAACAAGAATAATGCATTTCCAAAATTTCGAAAAATTACGTCACAATGAAGGTTAACATTTTCAAAATTTTGAATTCCTTAGGATGCTGGATATCATGCCGTGGCAGGACTGCTTCTCTTCATTTCGGGAATTTTGCTCATCGCGGCGGCCTCGCAGATAGATGACGCCACGACGCCCAGCACGTCGCCGGGTCAAACGATCCGATTGCTGCGAGAATATACAAAGTATTCAAACAAACTGGCGGGAGGGGTAAGTTAGAACTGGAAATGTGTGATATATCTAAATGTGAAGAAAATATTTGTATACTTCTGAGCCGTGTTTCTCGATTTTTTACTATGCGTTTACCCTCTCAAAAAGAATACGAGCCTTTTCGAAAGTATGCAACTGCAGTCTCAATTTTAAATTATACGAAATCCCGAGTAAACTTTAAGGTTTATAAGGTTAACACTACTCTGGATTTAGCATATGTAGTTAATTCAAATTAGAATTGAGATTTACAACCATAATATTATTTGTAATCGCTTACTTTTCAAACAAATCGCATATTTTTAAGAGTGTAGTTCAAATCCTGTAAAATAAAAGTTTCTGAAGTCCAAAATACGGCTACGATGTGACTACTATACATACATACAAAAAACGGAATAGTTTTAACGATCTATCCCACGTAATTTTAACTTGTATGAAAAAATGACGTTGTTTCCAGAAATATTCAAGTCAAGAAAAACCTTAAAACACATTTGAATTAGTCAGAAATTTAAATTTAATCCCAGTATAATTTAATGTGGTTCAAAATCTTGGTATTTTTATTCGATTGATTAAAACACAGATTAAAATATGTAAATTTTGTATTTCAGTCACTCGCCATTATTGATGCATTACTCTACTTCGCCACGAGTGGATTAATCTTCAAGTCGTAACTTAAAAAAACGATATGGAAATGATTTTAACACATGAAATTGATGATATATAAATTCGACCAAAATTAAGATTGAATTATTAATTATTCAATAAATGAATAGTGACGTATAAATGACGAACAGAAATAAAATGGAAGTGAATATTTTCATAATTAAATATGCAAAATACAAAATTCGTGTTTTAACGACAGCTATGTTGCAAAATTGCTATTGCCAATTTTATATTTGCATCGCTCCAATATAAATATGTAAATCTACTGAATCGACCTTGGCTGGGCGATAATTGGGGAGGATGGCCTACACAATCTTTGGAATTTGCGTTCCACGTGCTGTCCACGTGCTCAGATTTGCTTTAGGTGCTTGTACTTAGGAGTAAGAATGGGATTGTCTGTGTCAAGCGAAAACATTGTCATATTTGTCAATTTGACTGTTTAATTTGTCAGCCTTATGACAAATATGAAGGACCAAATGAACATTGACACTTTGATTTCGTCATAAATATTTGTCATTTTTGTCACAAATTTTAAATATCTGACACATTTGTCATTTCTGACAATTTGAATTGGTCATAAATTATGTGTTGTATTTGTCTCGAATTTTAAATGTTTGACAAGCTTGGAACTTATGACAATCTGAATTTGTCATGTCATAATTGTCACAAATTTTAAATGTGTGGCAAGTTGGACATTTATGACAAGTCAATGTGTCAATGACATCTCATGCCGTCACAACCCTACTCACAAGTATGTATTCACTTGCAAATTGCCACCAACGTTGCGCGAGAGGAAATACTTACAAATATTCACAAGAATTTATTGGTTATCGGTTAGGCTTGTATGATTATCATGCAAAAAAATGATTATCAATCCTAAGTATGTGTGGACATACTTGTCTATTGTGTCACTCACAATAGAGGTCTCCCATCGTATGCTCCTAGATTTTGACCAATTAAAATTAGTGCAACTTGATCACAAACGTAATCAGTATACCATTTGCAATAGACATGATCTCCCAATCTTTGGCAGAGATATTTGCATCCAAAGAGGAGAAAACGCGCCCTGAAGTTGCACAACTTTACAACCATTTTGCGGGTTTTCTCGTATTCAGGTGTTGATATCTCAAAATTTCCAAACCCGAATATTTTAAGGTCGTGTTGTATTGCAAATTTCGCTGTAATTAAATTTGTGACTGATTGACACTAATTTCCTCAAAATCGGGGAGTATACGTGGAGAGACCTCCATTTTCAGACGGAACCGGACATGAATACGTATGCCTTATTTTTTTAATGACACCCATCCTGGCTTAACTCGCGTCACGGCGAGGCATTCGCGTCAATGAAAATCCGGCCTGAATCATTCCTTGTCTCGTTAAATGTTATCTTGTCTTTGCTGATAACAATGTATCCATTCACGCATTACTCACCACATTCGCTTATCAAGTGGTGATGCGAAATCCTTTTATGGAAATGTCTTGTCTGCCCGTCTGTCTGTCTGTCTGTATCCACTATACCTTTACAATGGATTTCAACGGATTCAAAATTTCGACGCGCGGTGTTCGACAACATGTTTCTAATTTTTGAAGACGGATGAGTTCGAAGATGGGCGTTGTAGGTCATAAGGTCACGGCGCCACGGGGATGAGAGAAACTGTCAAATGTGTCGAATTTTTTGATTCCACCGTTTTAGACGTAAATAGTTTTGGGCGAGAATTTGTAAGATTGACCTAGTTTTAACGTGTCATGACCACGTGACCGTGTAGACGACGTTAAAGTCTAAATTTTGGTATTAACTGTGTTAGACGTAGTTTTGGGCGGGGATTTCAAAATTCGGCATTGTTTTTACGTACAATGACCGGGCAACCGTGTCGCTTCACCTCTTTGCCACATTTCGTTTGCAACGGTTTATTTATTTGAGTATGTATGTATTTACGTAATACGTATGCATCCAGGTATCAGACCACTCTTTGTCAGAGCCTGCCTGATTTATGTACTTATACGACAGTGACTTTGGCGAGAAGAGGAGTTATTTGCGTGCTCTTTTCACAAATTATTTGGACTGATTTGTACACCGATAAAGTAAATAAAGTAAATTTTTGAATATATCTTTAAATATTTATTTGCGAAAATGGTGGAAATTAAAAGTGCACAAATTATCCTTAAAATCGTCTCGCTGGTAAGAAGTTATTTATATGAATGATTAGTTTACTCAAACTTTACATTTATTCCCAAATTGGGAGAGATAAATTGGTAGGATTTGTGTTACATATTAATCGGTAACAAATGTATAAGTATTAAATATGTAAGCTTTCAAAACTGACTAAAAAATCTGTTGGGGTCGAATATAATTATACTCTGTGCAGGTAGTTATTTGGTAATAATCTCTTATCGGACTGGTAATACTTTTTTTGGGACGGTAAATTTTTCATTACCGACATTGTCGGTAATGTTTGCTATGTCCATGCCAGGGTTGCAGAAATCTCATCTCACCCTCGTAAATCTCATCTCACTGAGATATAATGAGAAATAGTGAGACATGAGAAATATGAGATTTAGTGAGATTTATGAGCCATGCACTAGCGCCACCTAGCGGACGGGGTCATGAACTACTAGTTTATCTCATTATTTCTCATATTTCTCACTCAGCCCCAAGTGAGATGATTGATATATATCATTAAATCTCACTAAATCTCACTCAGTGATATATATCACTTGTAACCCTGGTCCATGCTGAAAGAGTAATATAAATACGTATGCATGTACTCTGGTTAGTAATGGTTTTAAAAAATGTTAAAAACTGGTCGAGTCATACATATGTATATACATAGATACTCGTGCTGATATTGATTTGGTAATGACTTCTTACCGGATTGGTAGTACATACATAATTTTCTCCTGCGTGGTAAATTCTTCACTACTGCAGCCTTACTGAACGGTAATTACCGTGCCGGTAGAGTGACATATATACTTCGGTTGGTAATGATTTAATACTAGTTTCTTAAGCGTAATTTATATTTGATTGAATAGGTTGTCCTCTTCATCGCAATGGTGGTTGGGTGCCACGCCCATTTCAATAACACCTGGACAACGCTTTGGGGGACGGAGAACTATCCGGAAGTTTGCAAGAAGACGTTTGCAAATTGTCCCAGCTCTGCGATGGGGATGGAACGAACGTTCGTGGCATTTACGATAATCATTTTCGTTTTATCGATTGCAAATATCGTCGTGGGGTTCTTGATCGATCCGAAAAAAAATAAAATCCCGGTAAGAAATTTCAAAATTCTGCGGATCGTGTCAATTTGTTACCGGAAAGGGATAAAAAAATCGGCGAAATTCAAATCAAATTAATTATAGTTAGGAGATGGGACTATGTAGGTTTAAATTTCTCGGAAGTTGTATTTACATTCTGGTGGTAAATATTTACTAGCGTGGAAAATGATTGTTTTCGGTAACAATTTATTTTTATGTTTATTACCAATTTTTAATGTATATAGGACACCGGATACCACGCCGTGGCGGGAGTAATTCTACTAATCGCGGGATGTTTGATGATTGCCGCGGCGAGGGGGATTGATTCGGCAATGGTGCCAGAAGGCATCCCAAGCGAGGCTAGGAAATCATTGTGGAAAGGGTTAAAATATTCCAACAAGTTGGCGGGAGGGGTAAGACGAGATTTTATTTAAGGATAATAAGTATTCATAAATATAAATAATTATGGCTTTGCATTATTATTTTACAGTCAATGGCAATAATTGACGGATTATTATACGTGATCACGGCGGGAGTAATTTTCAAATATTAACAAATTCTGGAAGGAACTAAGTTATGAGTCAAATAAGTTTTCAACTTAATTAATCAGAGGTCTATGTCTATAATCGTTGTCTTGTTTCTTTTGGTGCCTTTGCGGTAAAGAGTTGAAATAGTTAGTAAGACTGCATATAACCAGTTTTGGATTAGTGGATAACATTCACAATTAAAATATGTTTGTATGTATGTCATTTGTTTTATTTGTTTGAGGAACATATGTACACAATGTGAGACATGAAATAAATAAACGGTGGCAAACACAGATACAGAAGCTGCAGTCTCACTTCACCCCAACAATTCGTAGGATAGCGCGGGAATACTTAACTTCAATGTGTTTTATCTATACACACATTTAAGTTTAGTAGAATTCTCATTTTCCCCGGTTCATACACTGCAAAAACGCATGTCGGTGTTTCGGTACGGAGCTATAGAAAATCGCATTGCGATCCATCCGTACTTAACCGATGTACAATTACACTTATGTGAAGTGCAACTGTACTTGGGTTAAGTATGGATGGATCGCAATGCGATTTTTGATACTAAAATTCTGACAGGAGTTTTTAGAATGTATCATCTTATGCATGTGATAAGGAACATGAAAGCACCGGATGCCATAATTTGTGTCTTGTTTGGCCGAAAAGGCCAATTTGTTAATTGTATTGGGCGAAACATAAATTACGCATGTATCCATGGCAAATCACTTGAAGTAAAAATAGATTCTTAAATTACAGTCACAAAAACCACTTTATTCTACAAGAATTAGTTAATTGTTGGAAGACTAATACATTTTTAAATAATACATTAATATTTAGTATTCTCTAGAATCCAAGCATAACGCATGAAATAATCAGTAAGAGGATAAACTGTAATATTGGCCCAAACCCAAAAAATAAGGTGCAGAGCATAAGATTAAGGGGTTGTGATATACAATTTTGATACAGATAAACCTAATGCATTTTTATACAACTACAGAATATCATGATTTATGCAAGCCTATATTAAATCAAACAATAATAACGTTAATAGTTGTTCGACATCGTTCTGGGAGATATCAAAGTTTCCAAGGGAAACCCTATTTCACCCAGATAAATTTGCAGGTCCGTAAATAACGTATTAAGGGTCTAACCTAGAGCGGGTTCGCCTTGAAGTGAATATGCGGGCATCAGATGTGGCACTGGCTTGATGCACCTACAATCGTCGTTCAAGCTATTCCATATTTTTGTCCAGTCAACCTCAATTCGGTGCAAATACAGAGAAGCAACAGCTTCCATTAATGTTTGCCAGTTTGAAATATTCTTTTTCAACGATGGAATGCAAAAAAGGTTTGCCTCGGGGCAGTTTATCTTCATCAATTTAGATAAGATTGGTTGTGAGCTCAGCTCCAAAAATAATTGTGCTCCAAGGGCAACAGCGGAGGTGGCGGAGTCAATAAATTGCGCAGGTTTGTAGTACCATTGAACCCAGTAAGACACATCCAGGTTTTGTGATACTTCCATCTGCTTTCCATACATTGACGAGATATACTTCAGTTCATCATTGAGACTAGAAAACTCCAATTTCTCGATGTATTTCTTAAACTCCGTGGAGCCTTGCTCCATAGATCGAGAGTGGAATGGGTGAACAATTCCATCAATTGGTTTCGCCTTCCTAATATAATGAGGAGGAACGAAGGTCGCAAAATTTGTTATTACGTGGGTCGGACCAGAAACAACTGTTTGCTTCGGGGTATTGATAATGGATACGTCGATCCATTCATCCCCCGTTTCATTGCCCATTACTTTTCGTTTAGTATATTGATTAATTAAGCTGATGGTCGTCGTTTCATCAGTCAAGAGCAAAAGCATGCTTCCTGGTATTACCTTCTCCAAAATTGTTTGTCTGATATACACGATCAATCTGGCGGCGGTTGGAAGGCTCAGCACGCCAGTAGCTACAGCTGCAGCAAGTTCGCCAAACGAGTGGCCAACGACACATAAAGTGGGTCTTACTCCCCAGTCTTCCCACATTTTGAGGAGGGAATACTCCAAGGCAAACGTACTTAATAGCCTATAAAGCGGAATTTCCTCGCCATCCCTGAACCATCGAAGGAGATCTATACCGTCGAGATCCATGAGGTGGGAATTGATATCGTCGAAGTGGCTACGATAACTTGGACATGTTTGATACAATTCTAAGCCCATTTGGAAAAATTCTGCCCCGGCTCCAGAAAAAAGAAACGAAAGTGGGGTTGGTCCATTACTTTCTGCCTCACTGTTTTCCTTCATCACATCGTGCATTTTGCTGGAACAGAGCGGTTCGGACCGGAGAGCATCGAGAAGTTCCGTGAGATTAGCCCCAGTTACGACTGAACGGAATTGGCTGAAGTGTGGCCAGCTTGTTGAAGCTGTATAACAGTAAGATGCCAGCTCATCTTCTCCTACAAATAAGTATTTAGAAGTGTTAATTACTGATCTCCCCGCCAAATATTTAAATATAACATAGACGTAAACAAAGAGAACGCTGCATATTTCAAGTATGTTACTACATTTAAATTCAAAATTCATATTTATGTAACAAGCGCGTTAGATAAATTTTAACTTTTTAACACTAGATTAGTTTTAATTTGTCACAGTTAATGAAAGAAATACGAGCAGACGTGTATGGATTAAAATACTAAGTCAATTTTAATTACCCTTGATCAATTCTAGAGCATCGATATGATTTCTCCTCAAAACTTCTAGCGATGTCGCACATTCAGCTGAAAATGGAAGGATGAAAAACGGCACACTTTTTTCCTCTGTCCTTATCTGCGAGGCCATATTGTTGTTTTTCTTGTACTCAACTATTTGCACGGAATTTGTTTAAACTGAAAGCTTTATTCTTGGTATGGTCGCTCAGACTGCATCCTCTGGGATTTCTGAATATGAAGGAAAAACAACGATTATATTGAACCGATATAATTTACTGCTTTCCTTATGAAATGATATAAAAATCTTTATTAGTCTCCTCAAACGATGTTGGTAAAATGCAGACAATTAATGGGTTATTTTCAGTTAGTTCGAATGCATAGCCACATACCGTAAGAATCCGGTAGGGCAAAACTTCTTCAAAGGTTCCGAGGAATATGAAAAAAACTTAAGGGTGACGAGGCGGAGTGGCAGAAATGCCGTCCTGCTTACCGTCCACCTGAGTGGGCTGAATGGAGGTGCTGGGTTCAAGTCCTAGTGCCTGCAGTGGGTTTTTCTCGTTTTTCCCCACTGCCAAGCTCAGGTACTCTTCTCCCTCCCTGGGTAATGGCCCATTCGTGGGGTCCAGTGGTTGTAATAAAGGTTTTTTTTTTTTAAGAATGAGATGACTGAAAACCGTGGCGCAGCTCAAATCGGAAGCATAAGTTAAAAGATTGCCTCGGTGCAGATATGTATATGATGTCGACAAAAATCTGAGGAGACGACACATTATAGTGATAAATTTAAGCCATATATGAATTCTATCGATTTAATTTATCCCCTATAGAGATTAGTCCACCGCTCTAAAAACACCGTCATAATAGAAAATTTAAGTTTAGAAAAATTTTACATGTGCAAATATTTTAGCTGTTTAAGTACAGCTTACATAAATACTTCGAGGAATTGAATTGCATACGGATTCACACTCTGTTTATGAAGGTTTTATCAAATTTATTAAGCCAGATTTTATGCATAATTTGCGTCTATTGTAATTATTTTGTTTACTAAAGGGTTGTGATTTAATTTCTCCCACTACCTCTTGCAAAAAAACCAAAGCGTATTTCTCAAATCTGTGAGACGCAACGAACCAAATTTTTTCTTCAAATATACCTTACAATTAGTATTTGGTCTTTCGATCACCCACGATAACCATGTCCTAAACTCTTTGCTTAAAGTTCTGTGCTAATTTTTCCAAATTGGTTTTGGATATGGAATTTAACTTTTCATGAACTTTCAGTGAGAGCTCCTCGGTTGTGTGTGGTTTTGGATCTTTGCGCATATACTACGTAAGTATGGCCAATTGGTTCTCCAAAACACCCACAACCGGATTTTTATCAGACCACACCCCCTCGCTACACACCGTTTTACCCTGCCACTTATAAAGCGGCTTGGTCATTCTTACAGTGTGAGTTGCACCATCATCCGGCATGAAAAGTACAAAATAGTATTTGCAAAAAAAATCCTTGTTTCTCATGCTATCAAAGCCTTCAGGTCACAATTTCCCTATAAAATTATTGGCATTAATATGTGCCATATTTGTCTAAAATGTAGGGTTGTCACTCCACGCCAAAAACCTATCCCGCTACCATGACTTTCGATGCACATTTTGAAACGCACGTGGGTGGTACATGCGACTTTTCTTCGGTTTTGTATATCATATATTATAGGTCCAATTCTGGATATGGCTCATTTGAGGATTCATTTGTCCTGAGGATATGACGCCATAGATCTTGACCTTGCCTTTTTTCACGAAAATCGCCACTTTTTTGGAATATTTCTTCAATTTCTACACGGCACAGTGGGCCAACTTTAATAAATTTTGGCCAAAAATATATATGAGCCGAATTTGAAGAAATAAAAATTAGATTTTGGTGTGCAACAATAACCTAGAGCATATATTATATGAGGTAATTTTTAATAGTCACCTGCCACACCCCCAGTGGGTGTGGCCCTCGGCGACTTTTCGATTTTAATGAAACCATGTCATATGATACATCATTCTTCTCAGCTCGACGAGGGGATCTCGACAGAATCATTAAAATATTGACACCACACCCCCAGTGGGTGTGGCTCTAAGCAAAGTCGATTTTAACGGAATCATGTCATGTAATATATCATTTTTCCCAGCTCGACCAGGGGGTTTCGACGGAGTATCTAAAATTGGGAAACCGCACCCCCAGTGGGTGTGGTTTTCAGAAAACTTTCGAGTTTAATAAAACCATGCCATGTGTTATATCATTTTTCTCAGCTATACAAGGGGGTTCAGCGAAGGAGGTTCAAAATCAGCGTTCAGCGACTTTTCGAATTTAATTAAACCATGTCGTGTAATTGATCATTTCTCTTAACTAAATGAGGGGACTATGACAAAATAATTAGAATTGCATTATGTAAATTAAGAAAAACCCACGTTCAAAAAATTTAGTTTTTCACAATTCCTTGTTGCATTATTCAAAATTCCGAAATAAAGTAAAGTTTTAAATTTTTAGAAGCGTATTTTTATAATCTTATTTTTAGTACTTTTTGAGAAAAAAATGTTTTAGTTCTTTCGGTTTTGATGTAGCGT